TGGTTTGTTTTTTTTATGGGAAAGCAGGCCATTTCTGGTTCCATAAAAGGTGCGTTTTGGGAATGAAGCGAAGCATCTCTGGCACAGCAGGGTGTGAATTATTCAGGGAGGATGATAGTTGTGGTGCCAGACATGTTCCTCTCCCAGTTAACAGGTGGAGAAAGTGGATTACATCTCGAGCCATGGAGTGGAGAGGTTCTTCAAGGAAAAAGGCAGGCAGAGTATGTGGAGCGGTATTAGGTGTCAGATACTTGTTAGATGAGGTGTGTATATATAGAGGGCTATAAGGAGGGGCTTATTAGACAGAGGAGATGAAGTGTGTGCTATACCAGCAGTTCTCAACCAGAGGTCCTGGGCCCCCGGGGAGCTGCGAGCAGGTTTCAGGGGGTTCGTCAAAAAAAACCAGAGAGCAGGGCCAGCACTAGACTCACTGGAGCCCAGGGCAGAAAGCTCAATCCCGAGCCCCACTGCCCGGCGCTGAAGCCTGAACAACTTAGCTTTCCAGGGCCCCTTGGGGTGTGGGGCCCTGGGCAATCGCCCTGCTTGCTACCCCCTGATGCCAGCCCTGGCTTTTAATCTACTGAAAAACAGCAGTTGTAGCACAGGTGGGCCATGAAATTTTCATAGCATGTTGGGGGGGGGGGGGGGGGGCTCTGAAAGAAAAAGGTTGAGAATCTCTGCTCTACGCTGAGGGGGAAGGTACTTAGTGGGTGAGGGAAACATGGACTGTCTCTGCTCTCCTCCAGTTAGGATCTGAGATGCTCTCTGCTCTGCCCTTAGGGATGCAGCACACAGAGTCCATCCACTAGCAGGACAAGGTGTAAATATGGGCTTTGGAGATATTGCATGCTTGACACATCACCTCAGCACAGCAGCCTTCAATGGGACGGATCTGGGTAAGGATACATAATCTATGGCAATAATTTGAATATCCCCAAGTCTCCCAGCATATCTGAACTTTATTTTAGATAGTGAGCTCTTCAGGGCAAGGATTGACCCAGTTTGTTTCCTGTCCACCTCTGGGCACACTGGTGTCTCATAACATGAATCCGTATATTCATAAACTGGGAGAAGCTGGGGTGTTCAAACTTAATCTGTGGACCAGCCAGAGTGATGCTCCTGGGTGCATTTCCCTTCCCAAAACCCATCCTGTGTTGCCTAGTTTACAGAATGTTCCATTCTGCTGGCCACTGGTGTAAGGAGATGTGGGAATAAGGGCTGCTGAAGGGAACAAGAAGAAACTCTTGGATCTTGCTATTTGCTGACAGAACAGCACCTTTTTAAGATGAATCTAGAGGGTGCAGAGATCATTGGGGTGTGTTGGTGTGTTTTGGGTCCCTGTGGAGGTCATTATGTCAGTGGCATGAGCAGTTAGGATTGCAATTTAATTCTCCCCTTCCTTTTCCAGGCTCCATAAAGCACCTCTTACAGTTTGAGACAGACCGTCAGAGGCATAACCTCTCTTTAATGGCTGCCATCGACTTGTTAAAGAGACTCTACTCCACAAGTGTCGCTCCCTTTGTGCTGCTGAGGACATGGGGATTACAAACAACAAATGCCTTGTCTCCAGTCAAAGTAAGAGGCACTGTTAGGACGCTACAAATTAACTTGTGGTGATACAATGAGCCGAGTCAGTAGCAGATTCAGCAGGAATGACATGCTGTGTTCAAATGGCATGTGAATGAGGCAAACCAAAGATGTATTTGGCTTGAGTGATTTTTTTTTTTTTACTTCCTTTCCTTAAACGAGAGATGATATCCATGGGGTAGAGTGAAGGAGGATGTAGCAGCGTTCTCTGCTTTGTTTCTAAATATTTGTCTCTGACTGGTTCACGAGTGACATGTTTTTTTTTCCCTTTCCCTCTCTAGGAGCAGATTATGTCCTTTGCCAGTAAGTAATTTCTCCATCTAGCTAGAGCTGCAGTTCACTGGTGACTGCTGGGAACCTGAGATCTTTAACCCTCTGAGGACTGTATCATGTCTGGTTTGGAAACATGTATTTAAATAGTGTCTTTGAAGAATAACACAAATAGGAATGAAATTTTTTTTCTTACAACATATGCTCATCTTTGCTGAAGTTGTTTGTTCTGCTCTCCAAGGACCAAGTCCTGTCCTGTGGCACCAGTAGTTTCAGCCACTGAATCATCTTTGCTGTGTGCTTTCATATAGCAGTGGCCCTTTTAGCCTAAGGCTGAAGAGGCAGTAAATGTACTGTTTTCCCTATACCTTGCTGCACTGTAGTGCTGATGTGATCCTCTCCCTCTGGGTTGTCAGGCTCCAGCTGCTGGAGCAAGATCTGGTGCCAGAGGTGAGTGTGGTTTGCAGTAAGGAAGCCAATTCAGGGTAAGACTGACTCTGTAAGCCCAAGCTTGCTTCCTCTTCCGCAGGCAACCCCCTTTTGGGAGGGCCGAGGGGTGTCTAATGGAGGGCCCTTGAGGGCTGTGCGTGCCATCCTGTTTCTTTGGTACTGAGGAGTAACAGTGTAAAGGAAAGGAGGAAAACTTCATCACCAGGGTTTGAATCCAAGAACATTTTGTTAAAAATAGCTTTTTAATTACTAAAATAGGCATTTGAGTGGCCTTGTCTTAATGTTCCAAACACCAGGCTCCTGCATTAGACAATTAATTGGATTACAGCATTAAGTAACAGGAGCACTGGATTTATATTTTATAGCAGTGCTATCATGTACATTTAACTAATATCAGGAATTAACATTACAAAGGGGACTTAAATGTGAGTTTGTGACTGAAAGCAAACTCTCAGGCGATGCCTGCACTGCGAGTGAGGGGTGTGACTCTCCTGCTCACATATGCATACTCACACTAGCTGTCATTGAGCTAGTGGGAGTATAAATAGCAATGTGGCAGCGACAACATAGGTAGCAACAACGGAGGCCCAGCTGAGCCATGCCAAGAACATACTCACGGGTTTTAGGCGGGTCTTTACTAGGTCTGTCTCAGCCATGACTCCCCTGCCGCTACCACAGCTACACTGCTACTGATACACCTTGCTAGCTCAACGAGTATGTCTACACGAGCAGGGGAATCACACCCCTAGCTCTTAGTATAGACATAGCCCTAAGGTCTACAGTCACTTCTGTTAGAGTCAATGTCCTTTACCCAGGCACTTTCTCCTCTCCAGCAATGATGCAGATCAGGACCCTTCTCTTACAAGGCTACTTTGTGCTCATTAGTAAGTCTCATTGCACTAGGGTAGGTATGGGGACTTGAAGCAGGTGAAGTCCAACTCACCTCTGGGATAATTCAGATGAAAATTTAGGATCTATCCTGCAGCGTTTTGTGCAAGGACTGCACAATTGGGCCCTTGATTAGCAGCAGCAGTAATGCTTCAGTTAACAAATTGTACAACTGAAAGATCAAGGCCCTGAGCATTCCAGACTTAATGCAACTTTGGTACAGAGAAAGCAAATTCTCCCAACGGAGTCTGTAGTGCCTGAGCTTGATACTAAGAACACAGAAAGAAAACTTACTCTGAACTGTACTCGTGCTGTTCTCTAGTCTACCCCACTCCCCAAACACAATCAGTCCTTTCCCTAAGTTCTCCCAAGGGCTTGAACATATGGAGATGATGGTAGGTCTTCTGTTGCCCTTGTCTCACTCTCTCCCGTTGCCTTCCAGCTCTAGATGCAGCTGGCCTCATTCCTGCTCCTAAGGTCCGGTCTAAAACCAGCAGCAGGCTACGTGGCACAGCAAGGGCTCAGATTAGTGGGTGACTAAAACCGCTAGTTCTTGGATGTCATGTAGCCAGGCTATTGATCACTTCATCCAATCTTGTAGTCAGTGAAAATTCCAACACAGAAAAAAAATTTGCTGAAAGCAAGATTTATAGGTAGTAGTAGATGCATGCACTCTCCTAGTAATGTGTGCATGGACTGTACTGCTATTACCTCTGGCAAATAATACAGAACAGTCATTTCTGCATGAGGATGTGGTAAAGGTTTCTTACATTCCGTGTATACCACAGGCCAGTTCTGAGGTATTTTACACTAGAGGGACTGGCCTGTTTTACTGGGAGGTTGCAGGGGAATTTCTCAGGTCATTATGGGAGCTTTGCCTCACCTCAGGTGGAAGAGACGGGGCAGGCAGTTTAGCATGAGAGGGAAAAGACTGCCACTGCCAGGCTGTGCTGAAGAAGCAAGCTGGCACTGAGCCTCTGCAGGGATGGGTGATGGGCCATCTTGTGAGAGCCCTTTTTGCTTCCAAATGTAAACCTCTCTTTTGTTTCCACATAGGCATTTGGGGTAGGAGAGATTACAATTGCCACTTTTGAAACACTATTAAACAACTGAGTATTGTCATGCCAGAGTGCCGGGGATGGGAGGAAATACTGAGAAGCTACAACCCCTTCCTTGAGTACTCGGTTTCTACAGACCAACTGTATAAAATATTAAACACATTTCTCAACTCCAGTGCAGGGACTTGCCATGAGTCTTGTACTAAGAGTATGGTTGTAAGGGCCAGCCACATTCTCTCCCCCTTCTCCCCCCCAAGTAGCTTAGGCTTATGTTATCAGCCCAACCCTGCAAAATTATTATTATAGTTCCTGCTCTTATTGACTTAAAGTGCAGTGGGTTAAAACACAAACCTGAAGGATGGAAATGATCTGTCTGATTCTAATTTGAACAGGAACCAAGTTACCTCTACTCCCATTTTCCTCTCCCTTTCACCTCAAGTAAGTGAAAAACCATCTCTTCTTGTCTCACCATAGCTCCTTAACCAGCATCCTCTGAACAGAGAGCTGATTTTTGGTTCCATGCCAGTTCTATCTTACTCAAGACTGGTCAGAGGGGAGAACAGGGAGGGAGAGGCACAGGCTTCTAGACCAAGACAGCCAACCTAGCCACCTCTTGCTTTCTGCTTCATACCTGCCCAAGAAGCACTGGCCTTGGAACTAGCCAATCCTGAAAGGTTAAAAGCCCTCAGTATTAAGCAGTTTAAGGGCTAACACATTGGGGATTTCACTCTGCATTGAATGCATGTGTTATGTTTGAATATTTATATTTTTTAAAAATTCTCTGGGCCAAACTTCAGTTCAACATGTAAAAATGATCAAGCATCATCAGCTAAAGGTCTGTGGTTTGCCAGGGCATGACAAGCACTCTAAACTGCTGGTACAATGGGGCATCTATGAATCCATTCACTGAAGCTGTGTCTGGGCTGCTTATAAGCACAATCTGCTTCAAGGCTGCCTAGTTGGAATTTAGGCTCTTTGGCTTTCAGGAAGATTTTGTATCAATTACGGCAATGAAGTTATTTAGAAACTATACTATGGCTGCTCTCGTTGCAGTTGGGAACTGCTTAGTCCTTGGGGAATTGATTCCATAGCTTCAACCCATGTTTTGCTGTAGGACTGACTCCTGCTGAGCTATGCAGTTGGAAATTTGAACTTGCCCTCTCTTCCTTCTGGAAAGGCCAATGTTCTGTAGGGGGTGCTGGCTTAGTAGGAGAGCCCCAGAGACTGCAGCAGGTGAAAGGTGGCACCCAAGGCCCAGCTTGTCTCTATGTTGTTCACTTTCTTTGTTAACTATGAAGAAACAAAAGAAATCAGTCATTTGCAGCATTTCTCCCAGACCTATACAGCTGCCACCATAGACCAAGAGCAAGCTGATGGGTAGATGCACAGAATGGCAACAACCTCAAAGAGCTTCACTCGCTACTCTGCAAAGGAAAACACAATGGATATTGCCTGGAAGCAGCAACCTGAACTGCTAGTGTCCAGGAACATCTGTTATGGAATCAGATGGACTTTAAAAGAACAAATACTAACGGTCTCTCTCCTTTGAGTCCAGTTGCAACAACTTGGCATGGGGATGGGGGACTGCTTGGTCAGCATAGATTCCCGCTTTCCTTTAGGTGTTTTACTCATCTGTAGCCCACTGTACAATCTGGACCAGTATATTTTCAGTTGTTTAACTTTGTCTCCCTCTGCACTTTCCAATACTACTCCTCACTGTCCTGCCGCCTTCTTGCTAGCCTCCACTGGTCCCTGGCCTCACAATCGTACTGAAGACAAGAATTTAAGAAACAAGTGATGTGGGGGAAAAGGGTGAATATACTAGGAAGCAAAGTGAACAGTCTCAGCCTGCTCTCCACTGTAGGAAATCCTCCCCAACCCCAGACTGCCTCCCTACAGACCTGCCTAAAATCCTCCCATAGCAATAAATTGCTAAGTGTTCTCCACCTGGGATCTGGCCAGTTAGTTGAGGAGGAAGAGCTAAGTAGAGATTGGCACTGTGAAGAAGAATAAAGCCCACAGAACCTCCTTCCACAGCCAGACAGAACTTGGGCCACAGAGAAAAAATGGGATAAACACAGGAGTTCTTGTTTTCTTAATTCCTGTTTCATGATTGGTAAGAATAATAATGCCCCGAGCTGACCTTTCTGAAGGAGCTGGATTAACTTTCATAGTGCTTAGGTTCAAGAGGTTCTACACATGGAAACTGCACAACATGAGGAGGGCTGGGATCAGATGTCCTGGATGGATGGAGGAACCAAGTGCTTCATGGGGGAGGGAAGATGGTGGGGAAGAGATGGGGTGGGAGTTAGCAGCTGGTGAGAATATAAACCTGCTGCTGCCAAATTTCTCTTCCTCTTCTGCTGCTGCTGCCGCCGCCATGTCCAACATTATCTCACCTGAGGCTTTAATTTCCTTCCATATCAAATCCAATCTTGTTTCAGTGAAGACTCTGCTTCCATCTCATCTCCTGTTGCTCTTTCCACATCCACTCAGTGTGCACATCTACTTCCCTTCGCACCCTCTGAATCGTTTCCCCACAAATATCTCTGTGCCTTCTCCCATGCTACTCCCTCTTCTTGGAACAGCCTCCTTGATCCTGTTCCCCATGCATCCTCTCCTCCTCCTCTTTCACATCCCTCTGCAGCCACTTTCTTACATTTCTTCCACCTGAACCCTCCCTCCTATACCAACCTAATAAAAACATGTCCACTATGAAACAAGCAGCCTCATCCCCTTATTAGAGGTAAATTTTGTTCTTAACTCACTTATTGTCATCTCTCTCTCTCCAGCAAGACCTGTCATATCATCTGTACTGGAAAGTTTTGGGGGGCAGCAATTATTCTTTGCACAGTGCCACCCACACCTACAGCCCTATATACAAATGTCAGATAATAGCATCCAGCGTGTGGCTGAGAACTGGAAGGTAGGAAATTGGGAAGAGCTTGAATGCACGTGGCCAGAAGGAGAGAGGGAAGTAGCTGTTCAAAAAGAAGAAAGTCAGCTGGGCCTGCGTGTCCAGTTTAGGTAGTGGAAGGAAGGTCGGGAGGGGCTCTGCCAATGGGCATTTATTCTGGGAGTTTGTAGAGTGCTGGGAAACTGCAAGGTGTATTGTGCTACTTACAAGGGAAGAGCAGCTGCCAGCAAGTGCCTCAGTGCAAATGACAAAGGACATGTACAAAGCAAGCACAGCCACAGGAACTTAAGGGTCCAGAGCAGAGTAAAAGCCAAGAGCCTTTGGCTCATATGCACAAATACATTCCCTTCCCTATGTGACTAGCAGCACCCAAGTTAAGTTAAAGTAGGAGAATTTCTCAAGTCTAATTTTATTTTCACCACTGATACTGTCGAGTCCTCAGAGCTTCCATGTTGGGGTTGCACATACTGCAGAGGAAAGCTTTTGTTCATAACTATTTATACTGAATACATTTTTTTAAATCAGGAAATTAGTTCTGTTAGGTTTTGAAAACTTCTTGTATTATTAAACAAAATTTAAATTTTGGGTAAAATTTGAGTTGAGAAGATCACCAGGAAATGACAAATGTCTGGAAGTTTCTGTTACTTAATTTTAGGTCACCATAACCAACAGGCCAGTGGCTATATTCAATCCCTTGCCAAAGCAGTGATTCTGTGAAATGCAGCCTGTCTCATCCCACCACTGTGTATGTAGAGGGAAGAGGTGAGATTCCATGAGCCAGAGTGTTAATGCATCATCTTCTCTCAAGATACAGGAAAGCTCCTGCTAGGTCCTTGCAATGCTTCTCTCACCTGTAAGAGTGTGTTATCCCCAAATCCAAAGCCTTCTTTTAGTAATGCAGTGATGTAACTGAGATCCATACACAGGAAAGGGCTGGCGGAGGTGTACCTGTCCAAGTTATCACACACTGGGGGGGGAAGAGAGAGAGAAAGAGGGCTCAGAAGGGTATTCATTAGTAGAACACTTGACTGAACAGCACATCTAATCAGAGCCCATGGCACAGGTGCTGAGCACAAACCCTTCTCTTCCATGTACAGGGAATCTGAGTCTGCCCAGCTGTGCCAGGGATTAGCACATTAGTATTTTATGTTCAAGGTACTTCTCTTGTTTTCTTTGGACACCATTATGAACACCTCTTAACTCAGCAAGAGCATTCACACAGCTCTAGTGAAAGCTGAGTCAGCTTTTGATGAACATTAAAGCTAGAAGTGAGCTCTTAGGTTACCTACTCTTTCATCAAAGGACACACCAACCCAGATCATTCCTTGTCTAGTCCTCTCACCTGGAATCCCCCCCCAGTGACTTAGATTCCACCATCTCTCTTAACACCTCATTTCTTAAGTGAATTTTTCCCTTGTGATTTTAGGTTGTTACTAAGTGCTAGCCCAAATGGAGGCCTCGAGATTGAGCCTTCCACCCTTTCCTTTTGGCTAATTCCTCACAGGTCCAATAGCTGGGAGACAGTTACACTGCATCTGTAATGGGCGCAGTCGCTTCTCTTAGCTGTAAGGATATTACAGACCACCAGCCAGGCACACAGGTTATATACGAACCTAGCCAAGCAGACAACCACTGCTAACTCCAAGTCCAAATCTAAGGAACAGCCTTTTTTCAGCCTAGGTACAGAATGCCACACCCCAGTGATCAGCTAGGATGTAACAGGCCAATACGTTGGCTGCATGTACACAAACAAAGTCTTAATACACTCTTTATACCCAAGGGGACTCCCTACTTTTATCAACCCTTCCTCTTGTGATTTGCTATATAATAAATATTTGACCAAATATGAAATTCCACATTACACACTATACTATAGAACATGTTTATCTACATATTAACAGTAACAAACCTATTAATCTTACTATTTGACAGAGATTTTCCTTGTTTACTCGGATTGCGTTTGGCAGGTCACAATGACATCTTCTTTGACTTGTACCCAAATCAGGGACATTCAGGGGCATTCCAAAAACTGAACAACAGGATATTTAGTAAGCCAGAAAGAAACCCCTTCCCAAAAGGGTTATTCAAAGGTCTTATTGATCACAACAAACTAGGCCAACAATTATATTGCTTATGTACTGCTGGCCAATATATGTTCCATTAAATATACTTACCCTACAATCTTACATGCAGTAAGTTCACCACATCTCTTTCACTTCCTTACACACTGGCCTCTTTATACACGTCTCATTTCCACCTTAAAAGCACCTTGGGGTGTTTATAAATCACCATAAAATTCATAAAAATTCTCTTCGGACTGAAACTTGGTCACAAGGTCACAGCCCATGACTTTCCTTTTTTAAAAAAACAAATCCATAATAAATGCTAAGGTTGTTTTTGATACAAGTTGTGAAGGTTTTCCACCTGTACCACTCAGAAACGACATATTCACAACTGAAGACTTGCCATCCCTCCCTCCATATTGTGGACTTGGATATTTTCAGGTTAAAAGGTCACACGGTGGACAGAAAGACTACTTACCACACAGTTGTAGTTCTTCAAGCTGGGAGTTCCTGTATAGATGTATATGCTCTGGGTCTGCATGCAAGTTTGGAACCTTCTAACCAGCAGCTATAGTTTCCTCAACACCACGTATAAGCCCCAGGATATAAAAGGGGCCATATGTGGCCCCTACTACCACTTAATTCCTTCTACTAAATCAAGATTCTATGGCAAAGACTAAGACGACTGGGAAGTGTGAATCCCATACAGGCCATCATCTCACAGAGATGCTGTTCCGGGTAAGTAACAGTTCTTCCTCCTCTCAAGCAAGAATTGACTATGTGGTCCACCACTATGGAGAATTGAGATGTAGTCGCAGCCCACTACAGAGGTGAGCAAGAGAAGCACAAATGTGATTTGGGGAGGATTATGGATAATTAATAGATGGATTAAAGTGGCAATCAGAGCCCATTTTAGTTAAAAATTCTGTGTGTGGGCACAGAAACACCTTACTCTTATGGAACAACATACATGGGGGTGATCAGCCAGCAGGTCTTGGATCTCGCTCTTTGGGCTAATGTCGCTATCAGAAACACCATATTCAATGATGGATAGAGCAATGAACAACATGACAACTCAAACTGCACTGCCATTAGCTTTGTAAACACCAAGTTCAAGTCTCAAGATGGTGATTCATGAACAGATGGAAACACATGAATCAGGCCCTTCAAATATTTTTTCATAATAGGATGTGAAAACTGGAGGATCCACGCATAGGAGGGTGAAAAGCAGAAGTGGCTTCCAGGTGAACTTTAACAGAATTCAAAGAGAGTCCAGGTTGTTCGAGAAATAATGAGTTCAAAAGCGATGGGATGTGGGACTAACAAGGGTCATCATTCTGCTAAGCTCAGACATGAAGTCCAGAAGTCCCTCTTGATTTTAATACAGTAGATCCACTTCCTGCCACAATGATCCTTATGAATGCAACACACACCCTGAACTGTAAGGCCAGTATACTTTCCGTCTTCAAATTCCTCTTCAAGACTTGCTTCTACTGCAACTATTACAAGAAATGAGTAAACTGATAATGGATACATGACAGGGCAGCGAGGGACAGATGGAGGGAGCAATTGGGCATAGCTGATTTGTATTTATTTTTTAAATCAATCCCATGTCCTGTACTGTGTATAATTATTGCACATATTGCCATGGTCTCCTTTTCCCATACCTCTCACGTTTCACAATATTTACCTTCTTTAGCTTTCCTTTCAAAATCTCTCACTTCTAGAGCTCCTCCTTTTTCATAATCTGAAAAGTAAGAGATGAGAAAGCACCATCAGAGGTCTTAAAAAAAATCTCAAACAAAAGCTTAAATTCTGGAGCATAACTGAGGCAAAGGGTAGGTTCTGCAGTTCTGCAGCATAGAAGACACAGAGCTGCAGAGGGTAGAACACAAGAAAGTGAAAGTCGTTATCTACAGAGTCTGCATGCAGCATAGTTGTAGACGTGTCAGTCTCAGGATATTAGAGAGACAAGGTGGGTGAACCAATATCTTTTATTGGACCAGCTTCTATTGGAGACTGAGAGAACCTTTGAGCCGCACAGAGCTGCTCTTCAGGTTTGGGAAAGGTCCTCCAAGACAAACTGTGTTGGGGGGACTCAACTCCATGTTTGTTCCCTGGGTGTGCTTCTTCCTATCCTCCATCAAAGCCACACAGGTGGCCCATCTTCCCACAGCCTCTTCTTCCCACTCCTCATGCCAGGTAACCTCAATGCCTCAGTTTCCCTCTCCTAGATAATGAACATGCACATCATCACACAAGAGCTCTCTATCACAAGCTGATTTACCTATCAGGTCAGTGTCAACAGCTCGATCGTAATAATAGGAGAAGGCATAGAAGGAGCTTCTGCGAATCTCATCTGGCTTGTGCAATTTCCCTTGTACGACCTTCACCACTTCTGAATAGCAAGGCTCAAATCCTGTTTCCCCTGCCAGGGCAAACACACAAAAATGAACCCACAGAGTCAGATCAGGAGGTAGAGGAACCAGTGACAATTTGATGGGAAAGCAAAAGAGAAAGCAGAGTCCAAAGGAGAAATAAGAAAGGGTGAGAGGGAAGGGGAGAGAGAGAGAGAGAGAGAGAGAGAAGTTTAGACATACAAACCCAAGAGAAAGTTCTCTTCCATAATATCTCAGCAACTTTTAGTACATTATACTTAGAATTTCAGAAAGCCTTTGACAAGGTCCCTCACCAAAGGCTCTTAAGTAAAGTAAGCTGTCATGGGATAAGAGGGAAGGTCCTCTCATGGATCAGGAAATGGTTAAAAGATAGGAAACAGTAGGAATAAATCATCAGTTTTCAGAAGAGAGAGAGAAATAGTGGTGTCCCCCAGGGGTCTGTACAGCGACCAATACTATTCAATATATTCATAAAAGATTTGGGAAAAGGGATAAACAGTGAAGTGGCAAAATTTGCAGACAATTCAAAATTACTCAAGATAGTTAAGTCCAAAGCAGACTGCGAAGAGTTACAAAGGGGTCTCACAAAACTGGGCGACTGGACAACAATATGGCAGATGAAATTCAATGTTGATAAATGCAAAGTAATGCACTGGAAAACATAATCCCCAACTATACATACAAAATGATGGGGTCTAAGTTAAATGTTACCACTCAAGAGAGAGAGTGTGGAGTCATTGTGGATACTTATCATAGAATATCAGGGCTGGAACGGACCTCAGGAGGTCATCTAGTCCAACCCCCTGCTCAAAGCAGGACCAATCCCCAATTTTTTTGGCCCCAGATCCCTAAATGGCCCCCTAAAGGATTGAACTCACAACCCTAGCAGGCCAATGCTCAAACCACTGAGCTGCCCCTCCCCCCCCCCCAAAAAAAAAAAAAAAACATCCGCTCAGTGTGTAGTGGCATTAGGAAAGGGTTAGATAACAAGACAGAAAATATGTAGAGGCATTATGATAAATCCATGATCGCCCACATCTTGAATACTGCATGCAGATCTGGTTGCCCCATCTCAAAAAAGATATACTGGAATTGGAAAAGGTACAGAGAAGGGAAGCAAAAATTATTAGGGGCATGGAACAGCTTCCATATGAGGAGAGATTAAAAAGACTGGGACTGTTCATCTTAGAAAAGAGATGACTAAGAGGGGGATATGATAGAGGTCTACAAAATCTTGACTTCTGTGGAGACAATGAATAGGAAAGTGTTATTTATTCCTTCACATAACACAGGACCTAGGAGTCACCCAATGAAATTAATAGGCAGCAAGTTTAAAACAAACCAAAGGAAGTATTTCTTCACACAATGCTCGGTCAACCTGTGGAACTCTTTGCCAGGGGATGTTGTGAAGGCCAAAACTATAACAGGGTTTAAAAAAAGAACTAGATAAGTTCATGGAGGATAGGCCCATCAATGGCTATTAGCCAGGATGGGAAGGGATGCAACACCATGCTCTGAGTGATCTTAGCTCTGTTTGCCAGAAGCTGAGAGTGGATGACAGGGGATGGATGGATCACTTGATGATTACCTGTTCTATTCATTCTCTCAGAAGCACTTGGCACTGGCCACTATTGGAAGATAGGATACTGGGCTATATGGACCATTGGTCTGACCCAGTATGGCCATTCTTATGCGCGTTCTCTACTCCAGCATCATACTTGGACTCAGCCAAGACCCAGGCCCAACTGTGTCACCTGGTACTATTTACCTCACATGTGTTTTTGCAGAACTGTGTATGAATCCTTCAGAGACTAGGCTGCACAGTGCACACACAGGGCTCCCACAGTGCAGGCAGAGCTCTCATTGTGATCCACTATAATCCCCAGATCCTTTTTCTGCAGGACCACTGCCTAACCAGTTATTCCCCATTTTGTAATTGTGCATTTGATTTTTCCTTCCTACATTTGTACTTTGCACTTGTCTTTATTGAATTTCATCTTGTTGATTTCAGACCAATTCTCCAATTCATCAAGGTCCTTTTGAATTCCAATCCTGTCCTCCAAAGTGCTTGCAACTCCTCCCAGTTTGGTGTCATCCTCAAATTTTATAAGCACACTCTCCACTCTATTATCCAAGTCATTAATGAAAATACTGAATAGTATCCAACCCAGAACAGAACCATGCGGGACCCCATTAGATATATCCTCCCAGTTCGATGATCCATCAATAATGATTCTGAGTACAGATTTTCAAGCAGTCATGCACCCACTTTATAGTACTTTCATCTAGACCACATTTCCCTAGTTTGCTTATGATCATCTCAGGTGTGATGGTGTAAAAAGCTTTACTAAAATAAATCACATCTACTGTGTCCCCCTTATGCATTGGGCCAGTTACCCTGTCAAAGAAGAATATTAGATCGATTTAGCACAATTGGTTCTTGACAAATCCATGTTGGCTATTACTTATCCCCTTATTATCCTCTAGGTGCTTATAAATTGATTATTTAAATTTTTTTTTGTATCTTTCCAGGTATTGATGTTAGGGTGATAGGTCTATAATTTCCCAGGTCCTTTTTTTACCCTTTTCAAGGATAGGTACAATGTTTGCCCTTCTTCAGCCTTCTGAGACCTCACCCATCCCATGAGCTCTCAGAATTAATCACTAATTTTACCTCAGTGGGACCAGTAGATCCAAAACTGCCTACCAGAGATCTACAGCATTTTGCAGTGAGAAATGGCAACTTCTATAGGGCCAGCTGCCCTGAGCCTGATCACTTCAGATTTTTCCTGCGCTATATCAAGGGATTTCCATGTCAAGGGACTTGTGACTGGCTCTGTGACCATATCCCTGAGCACTGACTGACATTCTCACAAACAACAGGGTCACACAAAGTGTGTTGACCAAAAACACCCTCTTCCTAGGGTCTGAGGCTTATCCCACAAAAGGAAGGTACTCAAATCACCTTCTGCCAGAAACAAAACCTCCTTAATATACCTTCTCTGTTGCCACCATATTGATATCTCACTCCCCCAAAGTGCCACTCTGCCTCCAGTCGCTTCGGTAAACAAGAACTTCGGAACATCTGTCCATCCACTGCTGCAAGGAAGCCAGAGGAAAGTCAGAAAGGGCTGAGACCTCCTAATGCTCCCCCTCCCCCCAATCACTACTCCAGAGGAAGGAGAGAAAAGCCCAAGATGCCTGACAGTTTGTCCATGGGGAAATTAAGATTTGGTTAAAAAGTTAAATGCTGCACAAACTGATTCTGAATTGGGGAATAGTCTGAACTCTGGAATACGCTCCCTCCTTGGTCATGCAAGCTGCAGCACAGCTGGGCCTCTCACCTGTTAGTGGGAAATAAATATTATTCTCCGTTTCTGGGCAGATCACTGCCTGGGAAATGGAGAAAAGGGTAAGATACAGGATGGGAAGCATGGGAAAGGGGCAGCTGGCACAAAATTAACTTCACCCACCTCTTTAAGTATCTAACATGGTTATTTCAACTGACTATACCTTGCATTTCCAGGGCTCCAAGCGTTGCTAGTCTGGCGGCTTTCAGTCCAAAGCCCAAATAGCTGCAAAAAACCCAAAACAAAACATTGCAGTTTTCCCTGGCTCATCTGACATGCCTCACACACAGCCAGCCCTTGATCTATGGCATGCACAAACTAGATTCTCTTTCTGTGCCTCCTATCCCACATTCCCCTCTACATCTTAGATGGTCTCCCTCTGCCAGGAGAAGAATTCCAAGTGCCAACGGACTAATGCAAAAACAAGGTGTTACAAAGCACACATATGGTGTGCAAATCTAAAACTAGGCAGGAAGTGGGTAGAAGAAGAATAGGAAGTTTTTGGGCAACTCAAAAAATCTGGTGTGAATTTCTGAGATTTAAAATAAAAAGCATCAGAGAGAAGAAGGGGACTTGCTGAACCAGAAGAACGAAGTAAAAAGGAGCATTAACGCGTGTACATCTCTACAAACAAATGCAATGAAAATGGGAAATAAGCAAGACGACCTAAGTCATACACAATGATGGAGATGATGATCTAACAGAAATTGGGCAACTTTAATCTATGATGCCCACAAAATATAATGTGATAACCAAGAGGGCAGTGGAGAAATACTTTGGGTAAAGATACAAGGAATGTAAAACAATAGGAAAAATGACCACAGGCATTTTGTCATACAGGCCAGAGAGAAAAAGACAGACTCCAGGACCAATTCTTGGGACACTTGACACCACAGAATACCACAGAACTCATTACATCAGCTAAGACGACTAACGAAGTTTCTAATTGTGATAATGGCCTCTTGTGCACTAGGACTGGACTGAAATCACTAACTCGTCACACTTGGCTGAGTTTTAAACAAACTGTAAATTACACAGGAAAACTGAATGGGCGTCACTGTTGACCTCTTAATAAACACCCCTGCTCAATAGCAGCAGTGGGCAAAAAAAGCAAATAAACTGCTTGGATACACTAAGTATAGGTTAGAAAATAATTCTTAAAATAATTTAATGTTGTTATATCATTCAGTGGTATGTCCTGACCTGGGCTTAGTTCGATTCACCCTATCTCAGAAAGGAAATAGCAATTTCAGAAGTTGGTGACAAAAGTGCTAGAGGCCTGGGCACACTTTTATGCAAAGGAGAGATCGAGAAGACTGAGCTGTTTAATTTTGAGAAGAGCGGAACAAGAGAGGGACATGATACTGTGTAGCGAGGGGGCATGGACCCCAGCCATGACTGTAAGGGGCTGGGGGGAAGGAAGCACTATATACCTCCGGGTGGGCAGAGCCGGACCAGCCCCGCCTTCCCAGCCAGAAGCAGAAGAGCGGGACATGATGCTTAAAAGGTGGGCCCTGCAGCTCAGTTGGAGGGGAGCTGGCAAAGGAGATAGATGCATCCTGCCCACTGCTGAGCCCTACGCTTGAGGACGACCCCTGAAACGCCAAGGACCCAGAAGGACTGCTAGGTCGGCCAACTGATGGGAGGACAGAGGAGCTATTTGGACTGCCGCTGGCTGTGTAACCCCGGTAAGACAGAGGACCCCGTGAGACTGCAATGGGGTCATAGGAAGTAGCCCAGGGACACCAGACAATAGTCCGGTTGTATGGCCAGAATACTGGTCAGCGTGTTTAAGTGGGATCCCCGCTGACCCAGTGGCACACCCCTCCACCGCTGTCAGGGCCCAGGGCTGGGACCTGGTAGAGAAAGGTGGGCCCCGTCTCCCACCCCTTGTGGCTGCCCCACCCCTGGGGTGGCCGCTTACCCACCTTAGGCCAAGAGGCTTGTGTTTATCTGCCTGAGCTAGGAGGCCAGGCGAAAAACTGCCTATTGCTCTGCCCTACACCTTGGGTCAGACCCCGTTTAAAACGGCTTGTTGCTCTGCCCTGCTTAAGGGCCAGAGCCTTATAGACTGCTTACTGCTTGGCCCTGCCCAGAAGCTCAGACTACTGGGTTCAGAGCCCTGAAAGCGCTAGTTCCCCCTTAAGCTTTGTTGGGCAGCCAAGTGGTAGCGAGGGGGCCTGGCCCCCTCGCCGAGACTGATGGGGAGGGACCACCATGGACCCTTACATACTGATACACAAAATGGAGAACCTAAAGATGGTAGGTGAGGTGCCTCTATTTACCCTCATAACAGAGCAAGAGGATAAAACTGATCAAAGGACATTACTTTTATACAATGAGCTTCTCCGTGACTAATAAGCCAAGCCTTTCTGGAATTGGTGGCTTGGGATACGAGAGGTCCTGTATCCCATTTCCAGTCCTTTGACCAGGTTGTGTCTTGATAGCTGAATTACACTTTCCAAAATGGTTTTCAAGCAGATAACCTAGTCAGAAGATCAGGGCTCAACAACTCACTATGGGACAACATGGTACATCCTAGGCAGATCTCAGGCTGTGAAAGGACTGATTTTCCAGTGGAAGTGGCAGCTTCTTGCGCCTCACCTGTGTGTGTAGAGCTTGTAAGTGCTATTGAACATTTCAAATGAGGTGACAAAATCCACAGGGGTTTGCTCCAAGGTTTCCTAAAAATTAAGTAACAGTATATCTTTCAGTCCCTATTACTCAATCAAAAACCCAAAAAATACCCAAACCTAGTGATAATATTATTGCTAATTTTCACATAGGCAGCAAGATAATTTACTGTACTCATCCAATGTGGCTACATGGAGCTATCCATCCTCCATGACAAATAACTCATAATTTTGGTATTGGGGTAGCACCCATCATGCTTCACCTATCCAACCCTCAAAATTAGTATAGCCCATGCAGCCTTACTTCTGCCCCTTGTGAGGATGCATTATTATTTGTAAGAGTCATTAATTATATTACACAAAAAATCTAAATTAAAAGAACATTATCAAGGTTGCAAAGTCAAGCACTTAAAAACAGAATGAGGAATGGGTTCTGTTGAAAAAATAATATGTGATCATAAAATTAAAGATGCACAAGGGGTCTAAATTCTGGCATTTTTTTAGCACTTGACTTTGCAACCTTAATAATCTTCTTTCAGTGTTGTTTTTATATGTGTAATTTCTTTGCTCTTAAAAAAGCCAACAGGGGAAAATAAAGCCATAAATTGCATCATGTACCATCATACTGACATCCCCATAAGTCATCAGCAGGCTTGGAACCTGCAGATTCACCACACAGACCTCTGCCATTTCAGCTAGTAGTGTAAATAATGGTAAGAGTAAGTTGTTGTCCTCTGTCCCGAGAGGAGGATGAGACACATACTTTGCCAGTGAGTTTCACAGGTATTTGCTGACAGTACAGAAATGGTGAAGCTCAGGGATTTTGGGTTCCATTGCAGGCTTTGAAGGAGACTGAGCACAGACTTTTCTGCACATTCTCCCCACGTGTGATCCCGCCTCCCACAACCTGTTCCTGTCCCAGTGCTTTCTCTTCACTGCTTGAGCAAAAGGGCAGACTATTAGGAAAGATACACTAACACCACTCTGATGAAGTGAGCTGTAGCTCACGAAAGCTTATGCTCAAATAAATTGGTTAGTCTCTAAGGTGCCACAAGTACTCCTTTTCTCTTAACACCACTCAGAATTTCTTCTAACATGCAAGAAACATCCCTGGGAACCTTTTCCTTTTGTAACACATAAAGTCTAACCCGTGATAGCAAGGCCTTCCCAGCCTGGGCCTAGACAACACAAGCTGCTTTTCTTTGGTTTATATCCATTTTTCTTTTCTCCTTAAACAGGATATTTTGTTTACAAGCACCAGTCATTTGAATTTCATTGTCAATATTAAAGGGAACAAAAGCAGACTGACCTTCGCAGATGGCATGCAGATGCCTGTGCTGATTGTTTCATATTCTCTGTGTATATATAAAGTCTGCTGCAGTTTCCACGGTATGCATCTGATGAAGTGAGCTGTAGCTCACGAAAGCTCATGCTCAAATAAATTGGTTAGTCTCTAAGGTGCCACAAGTACTCCTTTTCTTTTTGCGAATACAGACTAACACGGCTGTTCCTCTGAAACCTGTGCTGAAAAAGTGAGTCCTCAGAGCACGTGGGTGCCTGGGCACCATTACCCATGGTTATGGCAACTCTAGCACACATGCTTGTGTCTACTCCTCACCTCAGACCGTGGCAGGAATGTGATTTGGGTTGAGGCTCCTCCCAGGTCCAGTGTTCCAACTGTCTGCTGGTTCTGGCTGTACAGCTGCCCTGCAGACAATATCATGATCAGAATAGCTGCTCTTAACTCAGAGACTGCCCATAAATCCTTAAGCCATCCTGTTATCAATGCATCACAGACCCGTACCGGGGCTGATTTGGTCCGAAGGATCCATAACCAGATGAAGATTAGCTTCACATAATGTTGGAACATGCTGGGGTGGTGTCAGGCAGAAACAAGGGGACTGAAAGGATGACCCCCTTCCCACAACTCATTACCACAGGGCTGGCAGACACACGGCAGGGACTGAGGGCAGAGATGAGAGATCTTCCCTCCTGATTTCAGCTTCAGTTCCATGGAGAAGAAGGGGGGGAAATCCCTACACATCCAAAAATTGTATGTGGATAAAATCCTCTCCCGCATCTCTAGCGGACTCTAGGAGAGCATAAATCCCCCAATCTGTAGCCGATTCTTGGCGAGGTACAGAAGGGGAAGAGTAAATACTTCCAGCTCTAACAAATTCTGAGAACTGATCCGGCCATTACCATTTTCCCTCAGCCAGGACAGAGGCTCTTTCTTCTAGTTTCTCCTGTTTTCTTCCCCCTCTCTGCTGCCATGGTGGAGAGGAAAGGGAAAGTAAGCCAGGCAAGGGGGGCGGGCACAGACAGGGTAGCCAACTCCAAATTCCTTCCAGTTCAAGCCTAACAGTGAGTCAAGCAGTTAATTACCTGTCAGAAAGTTCACAGTGATCCAGGCTAAAACTCCTGCAAGGAAAAAAAGAGGAACTGAAATTGCTTCTACCTCCTGCCCCCTCACGCACCCTCATACAATCTGTGAGTTTGTATTACATTATATGTGCTTTTCAGACAAACAAATAAGACAAGTTCCCTGCCCCAAACATCTCGCAATCTAACTTACACCTATAACAAAATGACATGTCATGTAAGATCAAAAGGAGGAGTGGGGAGAGGGCTTTTTGGCATCTGTGCATCTAGAGCAGAGACAAGAATTGGGCTCTGTATCACAACGATACACAAACGGTCACTGAGATAAAATAACACGTAAATTTACCTTCGGTGTTAGCTGACTTTTGAGCATTTAAATTCCTAACCTTAAAACTGCATACACATTCTTTGTATTTTAATTTTGTCGTATTTACAATTAGATCTGAAAAAACATGGATCTGCTTAGTGAGACCCAGTAAAATATGAATAACTCCTCCTCTCCTGGTCTAGCCACTGAGCTTCGTTTTGGCATTGGGCGTACATCAGCTGTGGGATTCCAGCTGAAACAGATGCTGTTTGAGGAGGGAACTTAGAAAATAAAAACCTATGAAGGCCATAGTAGGCTCTACTAGGCCCCACTAGTCCTCCTCCCTGCGCATGCAATACTGTTCCCTACAGCGCACTCTCAAGGGCTACATCCCATTACCCCTAATAATACACTATGAATAGCACTAATAATTTATGTCCTTCCTTCAAATACTTACAGACTGATCATGCTCATTGTCTCTTACATCAGCATTGACTCTTTCAATCTTTCCTCATAAATAGGTCCTTTATTTTTTCTGCTATTTTCAGAACTCCCCAAATTATTACTATATTAGAGGTAATTAGTACTGGGCAAAATTTTTCAACTTTTTTTTTGGGGGGGGGAATGCAGATTTGGGTTGACCGAAAGAGTTCTCAAATTCATGTTGAATTTGCTGCATTGTTTTGGTCAAAATAAAAACCTTTTTAAAAAAATCTGAAAAAAAAGATCAAAATGTTTCAACATTTTTTAAACAAAACCTTTTGATTGTCCAATTTTAATTTTTTGGTTTTGAAATTTCCTTCAATTTTATTTGAAAAGGCTCAAAATGGAAATTAAACATTTCAAATAATTTCCTCTCTCCCCCTCCCCCCCCGACTTTTTGATACACTTACATTTTGAAAATGTTCATTTTCAGGTTGATCCCAAACAATTTTTTTAAACTTTTTGGAATTGCCAGCAAACCAAAAAATCAGTTATTCACACAGCTCAAGTAGTAATGAAGAGCTCAGTACTGAATGTAACCTTTCAGATGGGTCTCATCAGCGCTACTTAAAGAGAGATTTTTCACCTCCCTATTCTGTGATGTGAGACTTCTGTGAACCTACTCCAGTTTTATAATGGCCTTTATTGCAGCTATATCATGTTGCAGACTCATGTATAATTTGCTACCCACTCTAGTCTATAGTCTGTTTCAGCCATTCCTGGTTCTCTGGGTTTTGCTGCAACTCTGTGTTTCGGACTGTTTCTATGCTACTCTATTAGCTGCATTTCTTCAAGATGAATTTAATTATATTATTCGCCAAGCTTTCTAATATCGCTCAGGTTAATTAGTGCTATTTCTATATCCTCATTAGTGGTTTGCAGTGCTTCCAAAATTAGTGTCATCTGCAAATTTCACTAACGAGTCTTTACCCCATCTTCTAGATCATTCATGAAGATATTTAATAACACATGGTGTCAAGTATCAGGGGATAGCCACGTTAGTCTGTATCCACAAAAACAAGGAGTCTGGTGGCACCTTAAAGACTAATAGATTTATTTGGGCATGAGCTTTTGTGGGTAAAAAACCACTTCTTCAGATTTTAAACTCTTTGGTGCAGGGACCAACTCGATTTCTGTTCGTCCAATGCCATACAGAAACGTTTCCTCTGGTAGGATTCTCTACATTCTGGATCATATAGTGTCATCTACATAACTCTGGAACCCAACTTCCCAAGACCCACCTTCAGAAGATCCATCCATGATGCTAACACTGTTATTTGGAACCAGAAAGGGTGACTCCTCAAAGACCTCTCTCACCTGAGGAAAGGAGAGATGGTTAGATTCTCTGGGCCTGGGGCCTTGCTCTCCACTGGGGGTGCTGGACAAAGCTTCCCCTTTCTCCCCAGACCAGTAGGAAGTAAAGCATGAATGTGTGGTGTTAGGCAAAGCTTTCTCCTCCTCCTCCTCAGGGCACTAGGAAGGAAAGAAGGATGTGTACTAGGCCCCTCTCCATCCACCTTTTATGCCTCTATCAAGACAGGGGGGTGTAGGGCCACAGCAGGAGGGTTTTAAGGTCAGAGTTCTCATACACTCTTATGGAATTACAGCTGTTTTTCGCAGTTGGGACTAAGTAATGGTAGAGAGCATGGAGAAGTGAGCTACGAAAGGTACCGTAAGGAGGACCATACTATTTGTACAGAGATCTCTCACGTTACCTCTGAGAGCAGAGCCTGGGCTTTGGGCTCTGGCAGCAGCCTCAGTCCAGCTGTAGCTTTCAGGACCACTGGGGTCTCCTTCCAACGACTATGTGGCACAGCTTCTTTGGCCATTTTCAACAATCCTTTCACAGTTTCTGCACCCTAAAAATAAACAGAAGCTGTTTCTTTCACACTATTCCCTTCGACAGGCAATCAGAAAAACAATAGACTGTAAAAACACTTAAACAATAAAAACACTTTAGAGCCCCCTCCTTCACCCTAGAACACTAGGCAAAGTACGTATCCCGCAACAGAGGGCCAGCAGGGCACATAGATACCACATAAAGGGCCAGCAGGGCACATAGGTACCACAGTGATAGGCACTTAGGAAAGAGCGAGATCAGGAGGCACATGCATCCTTAAGCGTGGGAAGAAGAGATGTGTACAGAGCTTTTTTTTTTTTTTTAATGACAGAAAATGCAGTTTCTTTGCTCATGAAATTCTAGGCTTTATATTGGGGGGGAGGGGAGTCTGATATCTGACAAACCTGGAAGTCATGCTGTATAAAACAGCTAGTTTCTCTGGTACCATTACTGACTGAAGAGGCAAGGGGGAGGGAGCAAAGAGAGTCTCTGTAGATTTCAATACAGTGACATTGTCATGTTCTAGGTGGCAATCCAGACCAGTGAGAGATTGTGTCACTGTGCCCTGTAGCCCTGGGGGAGGGGATTCCGGGGGATGCTGCTGATCCAGGGGCTGGTGGCGGCCTGGGGTCCCCCCGCCACCGCTGCTCCATGCTGTGGGCACAGCCTGGGGCGCCGCTGCTGCTCCCAGACCAGCTGCCTGGAGCTGCTGGAGTAGCGGCTGGTGCAGCTGGCCCTGGTGCCGCTCCAGCTGCTCAGGCGGACATAGGGTCAGCCACACCAGCTGTTGCAGAAGTCATGGAGGTCCTTGATCTCTGTGAAAGATTTGCAGCCTTACTGATGACATCAAGAAGGCCGACACATTTAATGCCCATTTTGCTTCAACCTTGACTGAAAAGAAAAAAAAAAAAAAAAGGGAAAAAGAAAAAGATACATTTTGACCAGATACTTAACACAATTAATATTAACAAGAAGATGGAAGGAACAGAAGCCAAAATAGGGAAAGTACGGATTAAAGAATATTTAGATAAATTAGATACATTCAAATCAGCAGAGCCTGATCAAATTCACCTCGGGTACTTAAGGAACTAGCGGAATGAATCTTGGAACCACTAGTGATTATCTTTGAGAACTCATGGAGGATGGGTAAAGTCCCAGAGGACTGGAGAAGGGCAAACATAGTATCTATCTTTAAAAGGGGGGGGAAGAAGATCCAAAGAATTATAGAAGTCAGCCTAACTTTGATAGCTGGAAAGATACTGGAACAAATTACTAAACAATCAATTTGAAGCACCTGAAGCATAATGGGGTTATAAGTAACTGTCAACAACAAATCATGCTAATTTCCTTCTTTGGCAGGGTTACTGGCCTAGAAGATAGGAGGGAAGCTGCAGATGTGATATATCTTGGATTTTAGTAAGGCTTTTGACACAGTCCCATGTGACATTCTCATAAACAAACTAGGGAAACAAGGTCTAGATGAAATATTACAAGGAGGGAGCTCAACTGGTTGAAAGACGAAATTCAAACACTAGTTATCAATGGTTCACTAACAAACTGCGGGAATGTATCTAGTGGGGTCCAGCAGGAGTCTGTCTTTAGTCTGGTACCATTCAATATTTTCATTAATGACTTGGATAATGGAGTGGACAATATGCTTATAAAATCTGTGGATGACACCAAGCTAGGATGGGTTGCAAGCACTTTCCAGGACAGGATAGGAATTCAAAATGACCTTGACAAATAAGAGATTTCAGACCCATGCAACATGATGAAATTCAATAAAGGTAAGTGCACGGTACTACACTTAAGAAGGAGAAATCAAGTGTACAACTACAAAATGGGGAATAAATGGCCAGGCAGTAGTACTGCTGAAGAGGATCTGGGCGTTATAGTGGATCACAAATTGAGTATGAGTCAACATTGTGATCCAGTTGCAGAAAAACAAAAAGCTAATATCGTTCTGGGGTGCATTAGCAGGAATATTATATGTCAGACACAGGAGGTAATTTTCCCACTCTACTTGGCACTGGTGAGGCCTCAGCTGGAGTTCTGTGTCCAGTTCTGGGTGGCATACTTTAAGAAAGATGTGGACAAATTGGAGAGTCCAGAGGAAATCTACAAAAATGATAAAAGATTTAGCGAACCTGACCTATAGGGAAAGGTTAAAAAAACTGGATATGTTTAGTCTTGAGAAAAGATGACTGAGGGGGGACCTGATAACAGTCTTCAATATGTTAGGGGCTGCTATAAAGAGGATAGTGATCAATTATTCTCCATGTCCACTGAAGGTAGCACAAGAAGTAATCTGTTTAACCAGCAGCAAGGGAGATTTAGGTTAGCTATTAGGAAACATTTTCTAACTAAAAGGATAGTTAAGCACTGGAACAGGCTTCCAAGGGAGGTTGTGGAATCCCTGTTGTAGTAGGAATTGAGCCTGAGACATAAGCCCTTGTATCAGAGGCCTGGTATGAGGCAGGACCTGCTTACAGAATTTGGCAAGAACAGGGCTGATATTGCAGAAAAACACATTCTTAAGAAGTGCTAGTCACTGAATGCATCCGATGAAGTGAGCTGTAGCTCACGAAAGCTTATGCTCAAATAAATTTGTTAGTCTCTAAGATGCCACAAGTACTCCTTTTCTTTTTGCGAATACAGACTAACACGGCTGCTACTCTGAAACTAGTCACAGAGTGTTCATGCAAACACATCCCAATATCAAGTGGTACCAGAACATCCGATATCAAGGATAATACAAAAACATTCCCCAAGGATAACAGGAACACACTGACCCCTCCTAAAAGAAAAGGTCAAGATAAGGAAACTTAGGTACAGACAGAGGAAATTATTTTACCAAGGCCACACAATGAATCTGTGGAATAGAACTCTGATCTCTTGACTGCCAAGTCCTGTGGTTTAGCCTCAAGACCACCTGGGAAACTGCTGTCTCATTGTTACGGGAAACTTTAACATATACGTTTCTTAACTTCATTTTAATTTTGAAACTTTAATGTTTCATTAATCTAGGGCGGTGGTTCACAAACCTTTTTAGTGGAGCTCAACTTTGACCACCTCCCCACACCTAGTGTTCACCTTGCCTTTGCTTTTCTTGTCCACTTTCACTCTTTCTCTCCCCTGCTGTTTCTGGGTCTGTTCTCTAATCTATGAATTCTTTCCTTCTTTCTTCTACACTCCCTGCTCTCCATTCACCAGAAGACTACACTGCTCTTCAAGGTGGAAATGAAGTGTTACCAGTGGCTCAGGCCACCTGTATTTTTACAGATAAGTTGGATGACTAAAATGGGAGCAGAGAAGAGAAAAGGGTCAATAGGGCTGCTGCCTGTGTATTAGGAACTGCTTCTGCATGGCTGGCTTTTTTAAGGGCTGCAGAAGTAGGGCCTGAACCCAATGGGATCTGACTCTCAGGCTTAGGTCAGGTCATCTATGATCTCCTCCTCCTGCCCATGAGGTCTGCATGGCAGTGGCTGCTGTGTGCCCACTCCTGCCAGCCAACACCACCACCTTGCTGCACTCTGTGCTACGGAGTGAGTATGCCGAAGGGTTGCCGCACCTCTCAGGCTTTAAAATTAGGCCTGAGCAGACCTCTAACTGAGGCACTAAGGAGATGAGCAACTATTTGTTCTTGTCACAGACCTGGTCAGGCTCCCTGGCTGGTGGCTCACCAGACTGCTGTGGGGGGAATCCAGTCATTGGACCCCAGGTGTTTTAAGCCTCTGGAGTCTAAACAGCACTCAGACACTTAGGCAGACTCTTGGGGTGCAAACTCCTCCATCTAGCACCCTGTCCTGAGAGCGGAGACCCCTGTGGTAGAGATCTGCTCAGGTGTGTTTTTAAAGCCTGACCCAAACCCAACTACACCACAGCTGACCAGAACCAAGTCTGAGAGTGTCAAGTTGTTTTCAGACTCAACCCAATCATGACATTTTGCCCTAAACCTACGTCAGCACCACAGCTGCCTTGCCTTTGGGGGTTGACTTGATGAAGGCTTCCCACTCCCCATGCCCTGTACTCATGATCCATCTCCAGCTGCCTCCTGCCTGTGGGGTGAGCATGGTAGTGACTGCATGCCCCACTCATGCCAGCTGCCCGCCCTGCCGCGCTATGTGTGCCGTGGAATAAGAGCACTGTGACTCTTTAGCACACTTACTCCATGGCGCACACAGAATACAGCAATGTGGCAGCAACTGGCAGGAGCAGAGCAAGCAGCTGCCACCAATCCCAAGGGCAGGAGGAAGTGATCAGAGATCACAAAACCTGAGCCTGGCCGTTTTCAGACCTAACCCGACCCTGACACTTATAGTTGGATCCTGTTGGATTCGGGTTGGGCTGAGAAGCTCAACTATGCAGTCAAACTGCCTCGCCTCTTGAATCAACGCTGACTCCGATGTCCCTGTAGCTTAAATACACCGTCTCTCAGGTTTCCAACCAAAGGTGTGAGCCTTCTGGTTTCTCTCTTCCAGGGGCCACATGACAGGTGTAACACATAATACACACAGACACTGTGTACAGAATTCTAATACCATTGCTCTGTACTTAACAGAGAAGGCACAGCCAGATCCCCCAAATTATCACATTTCTCCCCCATGTCACAAATCTAGTTGGGCTCATCAGAATGCTGTGAGGGGATATACTGACCCCCCCCCCCGCGATGTGCTTTCCTGGGTCTCAGTAGACTGCAATACTGTTTCTTCCCTCGGCCTCTCTGGCACATTTCCTGGGCATCAACTCTGTCTGTTACCCCTTCATGGAAAGGAGCCCCGCAGCCCACTTGCCGTAAGCTCCTCAGGATCAGTGCTGACTCCAAAGATAACCCAGTACCTTTAAAACACATTCTGTCCCAGAACTCCATCCAAAAGGTGTGAGCCTTATGGTTTACATTTTCCAGATGTCACATGGTAGATGTTGCATCTAACAAATCCAGACTTTGCACAGGACTTGAACAGAACATTGCTCTTTACTTAAAGCATGAGAAACATGAGAAAGCATGAGAGAGTACAGCATATATATGCTAACAACAAACATCTCTGAATGCAAAGCCTCTCCCTCTAGCTCATCATTTCCCTAGTAGTCCTTGGGGAAACGTCTGTGTTCAAGTAGCCATGGTTTCCCCCGCCTCATCAGGCTACTGCAGCAGCTTCTCTCAGCTTGAACTGATGAAAATGGCTCAAGACCCAAAAGAGATCCGCTCTTGCCCTTTTATAACATTCCAATCCCTCTATCAGGTGACTTGTGGATCTGCCTCCTCAGCTGACTTTATTATCAGGTCATCTCTCCCCTGACAAACCAGTTCTTCTGGTTGGAAGCCAGTCCACTGTCTAGGGTTTTTGTATTTCAATAGAGGATTGTCCCAATTTATTGCTAGTCATGCATCACTACACCTTGGATTTCAGTTTGTCATGTCAGTAACACGAGAACAGAGAAGGTAAAGAATCCCACATCCAAAACAGAGCTTGCAGTCTGACACAAATAAAGAGCCCCCAATATCAAACAAACAAAATTCATAAGTGGTACATACAGATTCCCCAATTGTCACAGTACCTGAAGCAATTACTTAGCTAAAGTGTAATAGAACATTGTACTGTCCATTTCTGAAAATGAAATTTGTATCGCTTAGAGCTTCAGTATTGATTCTCCCCCACCAAAACTTATTAGAAAACTATTTCTCACTGAAGTCTCGCTGCATACAAAGGTTTACATTTATAGATCATTTGTCTGAATTTTCCATGCACAAAAAAAGCAACTCTTTTACAGTTGGAAAGAGTTTTTTTCTTTCTTTCTTTGTCCATTATATAACTCAAGCAGGATTTGTTTCCCCTCAAAATTCCCAAGGAAAAAAAATTCACCTTTGCACTGAGAAGTTTCACCCAAAAGGAAAAATTGAGACAGTTACTAGTAAATGAAAATGGAGCATTTACTTAACTATCATGTTTAGAGTAGTTACAGAGAAAAAAAAGAGTGAATATGGATACTGGTAGTACAAAAATCATGTTTTAAATTACTATGGAATAGGAACTCTGCTACTAAAGCATAAAAGTTCCACCCCTAATAATAGTAGTTATTCTTTGCTCTAAATCAGAGGATCTGAAAGAACTTTAGAAATAGTTAAACAAACCTCACATTTTCCATGTGAAGTAGGCAAATGTAATTATTGCCATTTGAGAGGGGTGAAAACTAAGGCACAGCGGTGAAGTGACTTTGGTCAAAGAGACATTCAGTGACAGATGTGTGAATAGGTCACTTAAATCTGGACTCCCAGTTCCCTGTGCTAACCATTAGATACAGTCAATCATATTAAGTAAATTACAGGTGGCATTAAGATGAGAAGACCTATTTACAGGGAACATGGGAGATTCCGGAAGACTCTTACCTTTTCAGGCTGATCAACATAAGCAGAAAGACCTGGCTTCACTGACTCAAAGATCTCCCCTTCCAGCTCTGGAGGCTGCTCTGCACAAATGAAACAAAGCAGCACATGAGAAAGCCTATACCACCAGCTCTGCTGCTCTGTAGCTTCAAAGTTAGGACCAGATTATTTCACATGAGATCATCCATGATGACCATCCCCTATATCTCCCTGCAGATAACAACCATCACTTTCCAATACAAACACTGATCCTCCTTTGCCAGGGAAAGATTTAACAAAATGTGCCCATTGTGCATCAAATTCATTAACCACCTGTTAAAAACAGATCAAGCTACAATACAAGGAATCATATCAAGTTTCCTAAGGACAATGCATGAAAACGCCATCCAAGCCTCAGTGAGACTTATTCCCCTTACACAACTGCCCAGATTAAAGTGTTCGGAAACCGAGAATTTTTTTTCTATGCCCAGAAGGTCAACAGCCTTTGTTAGATTAACGGGGAAGAGAGTTGCACTGTGAAGCCCCACCACACACTGAGAACAACCACCACCCAGAGTTTGGATCTAGGGGCTGACAGCAGAACTGCCCCAGCTGTCCCAAACTCTGGGATGATGCATGAGAAGAAAAGCATCTCTAAGGCAGCCAGGGCCTAAGACAATATGATCAGGGTGTGGAATCCTGCAGGCTGGATCTCTGAGAAATGGTCTTATTTGTTGGAATTCTGCCATTCAGCCTTACCTGGGTTTTTTTGCACAAAGGTGTAAATGTGAATTCGGGTCCCGGTGCTTCCTGCGTCAAACATGATGCCATAAAAGGTGTTGGTAGTGGCATTTACAAGGCACACACGAGGTGGAAAGAGACCCTGAAACCACATCTCTGGGCTTGGATGGGAAACAATGCAGTAGATAGAGGAAAGGGCCAGCATGAGAAAGATGGCGAGACAGGTAGCTGCCATCCTGCAAGAAAACCTTGGGGCAGCTGGAGTATGGATCAGCGTTCACAGAGTTGCAGGACCTCCTGGAGAGTGAAACAGGAAGAGAGGTTATCAACAGCTTTCTCCTTCATACTTCTGTTTAAAGGAATCTGCCCAGCACAGAAGCTACCCACCCTTAAAAGAGAAAGGTGTCTATCCTGACTGCCCCTACCCAAAGAACAGGTGCCCCCAGCTATCCTCACCCTAGATACAGGGGCTCTCCCTCTAAGTGCTGCAACTGCACCTAACTAATTTTTCCTTTCTGTTGCTGCAGACATCACCATGGAGCATTGAAAAACCGAGTCCCAGGGTACCTAATCTTGACTTTGTACACAGAATCTTCTCTCTCACCTGGACTTCCGGATCAGATTTACAGTCCTGGGACTTTCCTGACAGCTCAAGCCTCAGCTGAATTCACACCTTATATAAGTGGCGCTCAGGGCTGGATCTCTCCGTCCTGACATCCACATATGGGATGCTGGCCTGGCACAGAACACAAATGTCATTCAGTACCACAAACAAAGAGAATTTCATCTCAGGCTGATGGCAGCTGCTTGGAGAGATCAGTGTATGGGGAGGGTATACGGCATGGACTGCCAGTGGCACAGTGGTCACCAAGAGGGATCTGTGCTGCAGGAGGGGAGACTAAATGGTGACGCGCACCTAGCCCCAGTTTCTCAGCCCCCCCTAAGTGTTCAAATTTCTCTGATGGCTTTTTGCCTATAAGTTGGTTGTTTATCCTTCCCTCTTGGTACAGAGTTCTCGGCTTAAAACCAGCCAAACTAGGACAAACTATTTTTACGCTTTGACCAGGTATCTCCCTCTCCTTCACAGAATGAAAACTGTTCACATGGCCTATAATATGCCAACATTATTCACCGTCTCCCAAGTGCATGACCTAGTATTAGGTATCAAGATTCAGCTGCTTTCCCCTCCCATTACCCCTCCACTCTGTGATTAAAGCCTCCCTGCACACTTGTCTTGACAGGAGATGTTAACAAAGGAGACACAGGTACAGAAACTGCACAGTCACTAATCAAGTGCTTAGTTAAAGCAAACAGAGGAGAATATAGTTGTCTTTATTATTTGTATTCAGCAACACCAAGAGAACCCTGTCAGGGCCGCACTGCGAACACATATAACAAAAGTACTCTAGCACAGTGTTTCTCAAATATGGCCACTGTGGCCACATGCGGACGCCAGGCGCTTTTCTTGCAGCCACAGCCTCCTGGGCTGTGATGGGAGTGGGGAGCAGTGGTCCCTCTTGCAGGACCACTAGTGGGGGTTGGGCCCTGCCCCCCTTCGGAGACACAAATGCTGGAGGTACAGGCAGTTGGTGAATTCCCCACTTTCCCGGGGGGGGGGGTGGCGGCGAGGAGGGAGGAAGCTTCGGCCATGGGGCTTCAGGCTTCATTCACATGGTAGCAGGCTCTGGTTCCAGGCTCTGGTCCCAGGCTCACCATCCATGCCATCGTCCCTGGGTCCTGTGGTCCTCCTGCCCACCTCCCCAACCAGGGCTTAATTTCTCCCAGGATGCTGTGAAAAGTGATATTAACAAACATACAAATATCACTTTTCACAGCAGCAGACTGACTACCTAGCAAGTTTTTTTTAAAAAGCAACCAAAAAAGCAAAGCAAACAACAACAAAAAGACAAGAACATGCAAAGCACCTTATCTGGTTTTCTATTCTGTTTAGGTCCAGTAAAGAATAGAGACCACTGTACATTATTTTTATTACCAAGTCTGAAAAAAACCCTACATAAATAAATTATAATGATTTGGACATGTATATGTGCATATTTATTTGTTTTTCCTAAAGTTAAGTAATATTTTAGGAAAAATTGTCAGCGTGGCCACCAGCAAGAGTTGGTGGCTGCACTCTGAGACCACCAAAAAATTGTTGTGAGAACCCCTGCCTAGCACATAAAACACACCAACACAACTCAGCCACCTCAAGATCCTCCCTCACACCCTCCTCCTGGACCTGTCTGTCCACCCCACACCTCACTTGTGTGCATATCCATCTACTCTGCTTGAGAATCTTGCCTGCTCCTCATCCCCATACACACACAAACTCACTCTCCTGCTGGTAATAGCTCATCCAAAGTGACCACTCTCCCTACAATGTGCATGATAATCAAGGTGGGCCATTTCCAGCACAAATCCAGGTTTTCTCACCCCCCCACCCCATGAGTTTGTGTGTGTGTGGGGGTGGGGGGGTGAGAAAACCTGGATTTGTGCTGGAAATGGCCCACCTTGATTATCATGCACATTGTAGGGAGAGTGGTCACTTTGGATGAGCTATTACCAGCAGGAGAGTGAGTTTGTGTGTGTGTTTTTTGGAGGGGGGTGAGAGAACCTGGATTTGTGCAGGAAATGGCCCACCTTGATTATCATGCACATTGTGTAGAGAGCTGTCACTTTGGATGGGCTATTACCAGCAGGAGAGTGAGTTTGTGTGTGGGGGGGTGGAGGGTGAGAAAACCTGGATTTGTGCTGGAAATGGCCCAACTTGATGATCACTTTAGATAAGCTATTACCAGCAGGACAGTGGGGTGGGAGGAGGTATTGTTTTATGATCTCTGTGTGTATATAAAGTCTGCTGCAGTTTCCACGGTATGCATCCGATGAAGTGAGCTGTAGCTCACGAAAGCTCATGCTCAAATAAATTGGTTAGTCTCTAAGGTGCCACAAGTACTCCTTTTCTTTTTAGTATGAAAATAATCCACTAATTTCCCTCATTAACACTATTTGGCTATTGTCAGTTTTTTCAGTAGATGAGGCTTTCCCTTCCACCTGCTCCTTTCTAAACCTCTTCCTTGAACATCTCCTCACTCATCTGCTCTCTCCTTATCTTCCCAGCTTTCCATGCCTCCCCATGCTCTCTTCCCCCATCCCCCAGATTAAATCTGTCAACTCTCCTTCCCTCGCTTCTCACCGAAGTGCTGCCAGGCCAGAGCCACTTTGAGCCTCTCTGCTAAGAGGTGTGGAGTGCTCCCAGCCCAGTGGTACTTCAGTGGAAGGGAGCTGGACAGCCTTAAAAAGGATAAGGAGAGAGTAAGAGGAGAGAGGTGGTGGAAGAGATGGGGAAAGCAAGACAGAAAGTGGGAATGGAGAAGGGTGGTAGCAGATGGGAAAGGGCTAAGGGGAGGTTGAAGGAGCAGAGAGAGAAGTCTGGGGCAGAGCTGTAAATCTCTTCTCCTGGAGAAACCGATGGAGAGATTAGGTACTAAGAAACAGGAATGTATTTTCCAGTTTTTTTTAAAAGTCAAATAACTTTTAACCTGCATGGACTTTTATTGGTGTAACCTCTCCCGCAGCTCATTCTATGAATAGTTTATTCAAATATTCCATAGGAACATGGACATAGGGCCATTTGATAATCTTGCAGACATTTCAGGGTGTGTGTCTGCTTCTATGCTAATGACTTGCCCAAGGGATGGCTATTTCCTCAACACAAGGCATACCTAACTTTGTCCCATTGCTTCATTAGAATTTTGGCTTGTGGTCGGCGCTCTCCAGATGTTTAGTTCAGCTTATGGTCTAAGCAAATGGTCTCCTCTATGTTGACAAAAGCCCTAATCTTGGGATTAATTATTATTTGTATTGCAACTTGGTTGGGCCCCATTGCACTGTGCATTGTACAGACAGAGTAAAAGACAGTCTCAGCTCCAAAGAGTTTACAATCTTTGTTTAAGACAAGGTACAACAAGTGGGGAGAAATGAACAACTGAGAGGGGCGAGAAAGACGACAGGATAAACAGGAATACTAGTATGTTTTGCACAGTCTGAATGTTCAATTTAGTAGGTATAATAAGCAGAACAGCAGAATTAATCTCATCTTGCTACCTGCCTACCCCTTATCAGATGGCAGTAATAATTATTTGTAGTATAAAATGCAAAGTATGTAAGCCACACACCTGAGGCAAGACTTAGGCAACTGCTCCTCCACTCCAAAGATTCCTGACAGGCAGCTTACAATAACTGGGAAGCTGTGACAGCGAAGACTGAGCCTGTACTCACCTCTTCTTCACCTTCAGCTAACATGACTGGACTATTTATCACGCAAGCTAGTTGACCTGGGAGGCACATGAAATTTCACGCTCGTTGTTCTTTATGACTTTGGGTTTATCATTGATCTAGTGCTGACAAGCATGCATGCATAGGTCTTTAGTTGAGCCAGATAAGTACAAGGGGCAGGTTCCAGACAACTAAATGTTCAACTGAGATCAATAAATTAGTAAAACATTTAACAAATTGACAAAGTTCATTTCAACAGCATTAGCTCTGCCAAAACTGAGCTGTCATTATTTAAGCTGGAAACACTCACAACCAGCCACAAACCCCTGCAGTAAAATCAACACAGGGCAGATTTATATATTAAAATGAGAGAAAATTTAAAGTACAACCAAGGTGAAAGCACTGAGGCAAAATGAATTCAGCTGTTCTGGATCTTCAGCATTTAAGTATATAATCCTCATACAGTGGAGGGAGGAACAAGGTTGTCCCAGAGTCAAGATGGAACAGGAAGTCCCAGGGCAACAGAACTTGCAAAGCAGAACCTTATTTCAGCTCTGCCAGATGGAAACCTCAGCAGTGTCTGTTGGGGGTGAGGGGAGAGATGGTATTGTCTGTGGGGCCATAGGGGAACTTGGGCCCTCCCTGCTCGAGTGGGTTAAAACCCAGGGCCCTGTGATTGGCAGGTTGGATACACAGTCTGGGGAAGGACACCAGCAAGCCTGCTCCATAGGTCACCTCCTACCACAGCCTCTGCCCCTCAAAAGCCACCACAAGGTGTACTTGTGGACTCTCAAGGGGTGTTCTGCCTCTCAGCGATGCAGAGGCTCTTCTCCTTCAATCATGGCTTGTCATTCCTGGTCTCCACAGGGGCCTCTGGTGACTCAGTAAGGGGGGTTGCTTCCAGCAATGTGGAGCTCCTGAGGCTTCTCTGCAGGGGCCAACAGCTTAGGACTGCCTCCTTCTGCCTAGACTGAACTGGGATGCTCCCTTTTGATCTTTGCCTCCATTGTGAGCCTGCCCAGCAGGTGAGGCTGGGTGGAGCCCTCTGGGCCCAGAACTGCTCTTTAACTCTTGATTCCGCAATGTGGGGCTTATACACCCCATCACAGTGTCCCAGGGCAAGAAAATCTCATTCATATCTCCATGTATCCCATGCAGAAGAGCATGTGGGATCCCAGCAGTGGTGAGCTGGAGCCGGTTTGCACCGATTCACTAGAACCAGTTGTTAAACTTAGAAGCCCTTTTAGAACCAGTTGTTCTGCAAGGGACAACTGGTTCTAAAAGGGCTTCTAAATTTAACCGGCCAAAAGTGGCGCTGACTCCATGGGTGCTCCAGGGCTGAAGCACCCAAGGGGAAAATTTGGTGGGTGCAGAGCACGCACCGGCAGCTCCCTGCCCCAGCCCCAGCTCACCTCCACTCCCTCCCCTGAATGTGCCACCCCGCTCTGCTTCTCTGCCCCCCCACCCCAGGCTTCCCGCGAATCAGCTGTTCACGCGGGAAGCCAGGGCAGGCTGAGAAGCAGGCGGCGGCTTCGCACTCAGGCCCAGGGAGGCAGAGGTGAGCTGGGGTGGGAGTGGGGGGTGCAAGGAGGGCCGTCTGCACCACAGCAGGTAACCCAGGGGAGGAGCGCAGGGGAACTGATTCATGGGAAGCTGGGGGGGGGGGGGGGGGCGGAGAAGTAGAGCAGGGCGGTGCGGTCAGGGGAGGAGGCGGAGCGGAGTGGAAGTGAGCTGGGTCCGGTGGTGGGGTGGGGAGTTAAGAACTATTCCTTTCACTTCATTTTTACTGTCAGAACAAATGACAAAAATGCCACTAACTTATTTTTCTCAGTATTCTACTGGCTGGCATCTTCAGCAACTTGAATACAGTATTCTGTAGTTTTCGTTTCAGATGTAGAATCAATAGCATTAAGAAGAAACATTTTTCCCTGTATGGTTGTTTGTTACTTTTATTAGATCGTTTTCATGTTTGATCAATCACCTTGCATAATATCTGTTTATTCTTTTAGCCCTTCCTTTAAATTTCCTCTCCCCCTGCACTTGTAACATCTAATAGCAGACCTGTCTGTTCCAGAATATTCAATAAGAAGTGCTTCAATCCCTTCTTTAAATTGTTCATATTATGCTACGCTCTTTAAATTTTTCATTTTGTGCTACATTAAAAGGTGATGGTAATATACAAGAAGGCTTGAAACTTTGACTTTCAGTTGTTTTTATGGCACAATCACCAATTGATGTTTGCCATTTTTAGGCTGTCAAAGAAAAACCGACTGCTTCTCAAAGAAGTTGATATTAAAATGCTGCTGGAATGCGTAGAACAGGGACAAATTGCTGCTACAATACTATTAATAAATTTTAGCTACATTTCAGTGATGATGGCACAAAAAGTATCTCACTTGCAGGCTCAGCAACCTCAATATTCTACTCTCCTGCTGACTTCTACAGACAAAGTTTCATTCAATGATGTATTTAGTCTTGAAGAAACCGATTTTCTCATGAGCAAGAATTCTTTGTATATTGCTATTTACAACTTTTTAATAACATTTACTTTTTATCTTATAAAGAATTTAATCATTTCACTAAAATCAATAACTTGCTTTCTACCACTTCAACTTTAGGCATGTTGAGCAAGATAAATTCATATACTGATATTTGGTAATGAACAGACACTTGTCATCTGTCTGCAATATTGACCAGAAGTTTCCATGTTTACTACAGTTAGAATGACAAACATCTAGTGAATTCAACACTGTAATCTAAAGACTGAAAAAACAGATGAGCTAGCCAGCTCTATATAGAAATATTATCAGATGCTCTACTTTTGTTTGGCAGAATCTAGAAAGTTCTAGATTCTGGCAAACTAAGCCCTCCTCAGACAGTTTAGAGCTCCACTTACTCCTAGTTTTAATACCCAATAGCAGTTTTTTCTGTCTTTATTATTTGTATTACCATAGTGTCTAGGAGCCCTAACCTTAGATCAGGACCCCACTGTGCTAGGCACTGTACAAACACAGCACAAAAAGATAGATGTCAAGTGTTTTATAGGCATGATGGCAAAGGAGGTTTTAAGGACGGATTTGAAGGAGAACAATTAAATGTATTTGCAGAGGTTTACGAGGAGTTTCTCCCAAGCATGGGGCAACGTGGAAGAAAATATGTAGGTGCTTGTTTGAATATTTAACAGGTGGGTGATGGAGACTGGCATCATGGGAGTTGACCTTTTGATACAGAACAAGATATGACAGGTAGGGTAGGGATAGGCCATGAAAGGCCTTGAAATTAAGACAAGTAACTTTTGCTTAATGTGATAGAGAAGGAGGGAACGGAGAGGGGTAGCATGGTCAAAGTGACGTGCTAAAAGAACCATCTTAGCAGCAACATTCTGAATGGATATGAATGGAGTAAGAATGCATTTGTCAAGGCCAGAGAAAAGGATGGTGCATAAGGCACCTAACTTGCGATATTGCAGAAATTGCGGATGCTGCAATATTAGGCTTCTACCGCAATTTTGACAGTGGGAGCCCCTGCTGTCAGCCTCAGGTCCCGGCTCTCAGCCCTGGGCGGCCGACAGCGGGAGCCACTGCTCTGAGCTGCTGGCTAACAGCAGAAAATCGTGGAAAAGTAATAATAAACATTACCACAAATAATAAGGTACATTATTTTAGCCACGTTGAGCTTGAGCTAACAGACATCCACGAGAGGAGATCAGAGAGACAGGCTAATATTTTAATTTGAACAGAGGGATACAAATCTGGACTAGAGAGGCAGATCTGTGAGCCTCCTGCATAGAGATGGTAGTTGAATCTGTGTTTGCAGATGAGATTACCCAGAGATAAGGTGCAGAGGGAGAAGAGAAGGGACCAAGGGCAGCCCCGGGGAACTGTCACAGAAAGGTGAAGGGTGGATGAGGAGGATGCTCTGAAGGATTGATTAGAGAGGCAGGAGAACCAGGAGAGGACAGAGTCCCAGAAGCCAAGAGAGGACAAGGTTTCAAGAAGAGCAGCATGGTCAACTGTATCAAAGGTGGCTGACAAGTCAATGAGGATGGAGTACTGGTTCTGAGATTTTAATAAGAAGAGATTAGAGATTTTGGTGAGAACAGTTTCAGTTGAGTGACAAAGGAAGCCACACTGGAGAGGATCTAGGATAGAACTAGAGAAGAGGAACTCCAGCAGCAACTGTAAACAGGGCATCACATGAGCTCAGAGATAAAAGGGAGATTGAGCGGTAGTTGAACAGGCAAGTGTGATCATGCGTAGATTTTTTTTTTTTGTTTTTAGAAGATGGAAGACACTAAAGCATGTTAACCTCTGCATCTGTGACCAGGGAGAAGGAAGAAAGTGTTTGGAGGAGGAGGGAAGTAAGGGAAGGCAAGCAAAAGGATGGGGGAAGGTCACATCATACTTTGTTGATTTTTTCCTGGAATAAATCAGCAAGATCCTGTGCAGAGAGAAGTGGAAGGTTTGCGGAGAGAGTCAAAGGGCTAAAAGGCAGCTCAGGATTGAAGGCGTAAAATTCAGTTAAGCTAGAGAAGTAGAGTTGTTAACTGGGAAGATGGTAGAACTGAAATAAGACAGAAGGATTCTAATGGAAGAAGTCAGTCTGGTCATGGGATTTCTACCAGAGATGCTCTGCAGCGTGAGAGCTGGAACAGAGGAAACAGACTTAGGGGGTAAGCCAGGGCTGGGGGTTGGCAGGGCAGACCTTGCAATGGGACAGAGGGGTAGAGAGTAGATGACAGCAACATGAAGAAGGAGAGGAGAGTCAGATGCGGTGTCATTCAAAGGAAGAGAAAGAGTGAGAAGAGGGAAGATATAGGGATTGGAAATAGCAATCAGAAAGAAGCCCAACATATTCTGATCCTGAGAAATCAGTGTAAGAAAAGGAGAGGCATCATTAAGGTGCGGCAGAAGCAGTGTCAAAGGGATCCAGGTCTCTGTGAGGGTCAGGAGCTGGACACTGTAAGATATGAAAAGGTTATGGATGCTAAGATCATTTTAGAAGTGGAGTGGGCATTCCACCCATTCCTCTTTCCCTAGGCTGTTCTATAACTCGTTGTTTCCTAATAGACCTAAGAAGAATATTTACAGTCTCATCATTTCTCTTTTAACTTTTTTGAATAGTCAGCTTTCATTCACAGATTGAAGTTAGAGCAAAACATTTCCAGTGTCAAAAAGCTTTCAAACATGTGTTGTGTTCCTGTAAATATTTCAGAGCAATAACGAAATTGGAAAAAAAAAAAACAACACCTTTTTTTTTTTAAAAAAAAAAACAACCTTGCTGATGCCAGAGGCAAATATGGGCACAGAGAGTATGGGGATTGGTGGGGAAGGGCAAGGAGCAGCAAGGGGACTGGTAGCTGTGTGGAGGGCTGAGGTGGATGAAGGTATGAAGACAGGGTTGTTTGTTTTTTTGGGGGGGGGGGATATAGGGGTCGGTGTAGGCAAGAACAAGGAATTTATGGTGATGGGGGGAGCAGCAGATCTTTGTGGGCAGGGCAAGAATCTGTGGGAATGAGGGGATCTATGTGTTGGGAGCAAGAATAAGTGTATGGGGAGCACGAGGTTTCCATAGTAGGGCAGGGATGAAGGATGAATATGGGGAGCAGAAGTTTTAAATGAAGGAAGCAGATGGGTCTCCATCGGGTAGACAGGGGGTATGAGAGGAGTGGGTATGGGGAGAAACAAAGTGAGCGGTGGAGGTCAAGGATGGAGAGGGGAGGGGAGGGAGGGAGGGAGCAGATCTGAGGGACGGAGGCAATGGGTATAGGGGGAGCAGAGGATCTCCGGATGGCGCCGGGTGTGGGTACAGTGGAAGGGTGAGGGGGGAGCCGGGCTGGGTCGCGGAGGGAGCCGGGGTCTCTGTGTGGGAGCCAGGCTGGCTCGGGGTCCGCGCAGGGCTGCACAGGGGGCTCCAGTCCATGGGACGGGGGCGGTGTCAAGCCCCCCGCGCGCTCCCGAGGTCTGCACTCACCGCCTCGCCGGTGCGCTCGGGACCCCACATTTCGCCGGTGCCGCGTCAGCATCACGGTCGCATACTTATCTCGTCACTAGTCCCCGCCTTCTAGTCTCCATAGCAACAGGTCGCCGCGAGCGCTTGTCACAAAGATTCCAAAGAGACGGATCCGTGCTGCGAACCGCCGGCCGCAAGTCCCCGCCGGGGCCACGATGCGAAAGGGGAAAGGCGCGAAGCGCGGGAGGTAACTGGCTAGCGAGGGAAGTGGAGAGATGAGGGGGCAGGTAACCAGGGTAACGGGGGAAGTGAGAGAGCAGAGAGGGGAGGGGTGGGGGAATAGGGAGATAATGAGGCAGGTAGCCAGGCAATGGGGATGGGGAGGGCAGAGGGAGGAGAGTGCAGGGAGAGTCCTTGGCCATGGGGTCCCAGCAGGATGGGAGTTCCAGGGGCCTCGTACCCACGTGCCTCAGCTTTTCCTCACAGGGCGAAGAAGGGGGCCAAGGCTGAGTCGAAGGTAGATAAGGAGTCTGAGGCTGAGCGGGCCAAGGCCAATGCGGCGCTATGGGAAGCTCGGCTACAGGTGACTGAGATCTCCCGGGCCGAGTATCGGAAGGCTGCACGTGTGCTGGCCAGGAACAATGAGGAGCTGGCATGGCAGCAGCACCGTCTGGAGAAGGACACAGTTGAGGTGATCAGCTTTCTCAAGAAACAGGATGTGGAGAAAGAAGAGCAGGTATGTGCAGAGAACCAAGAAACCTGTCCACCACTCCCTGCACCCCTTTGAGCATCCACACCAAAGGTGGCAGTGTGTAGCAGCCTTCAGGCCCATGGATGTCTTGACAGCAGGTTCAGAGGGAGATGCAGACTCTCCACAGTGTCATCAGCAAATGTGAGGTGACCATAGGACCTGCTGCTCATGGTGCACATGCAGCTCCTAATGCAGCACAGAACCTTTTGAAGCAGCTGATGGAACAAATCAAAAATAGCTCACAGGTAGTATCATCTTCTATATACCATAGATATTCTGCACATGCTCCAGGCAGCTCTGACAGTCATTGTGGGAAAGGTGCAACAATCTGCCAGTCCCACTATGCTTTTGGCAGATGCTGTAATCAGACAGGATGAGCTGAGCACATCCAAAACTGGGTGTTTGGTGTGGATGATGTGCATCTTTGCAGTTTTCAATGGATCATTTTCACTGGAGCAAGCTGCAATTTTCTAGTTTGGAAATATAGACAAGTTTCCTAGTGAAAGTGTAACTGGATCCAGAGTTGCCCAAATATTAAAGCAGTTGTACAGTGTTAATGAGTTATCTTCTCTGCATTAGACCACCTTTGGCAGGACCAGCAATAATCAGCCCCTTCTGACACCTGCAGCCCATTTTTTAAATATGTGAAGTCAAAGCTAGATGCACAGGAGTGTTTTTACATCTGTGTAACATTGTTCTGAGTTTCTCCAATATCAGCCACAATGATCCCCTGTTGACACTTATAACTGTTCCTTCAGTAAGAGAGAGTGGGCAGGTCTAAGAGCCTCAACTCCAAACCTACAGTACAAGAAGCGGGGGACCGATTCTGGACTCCCATTGTGGCGCCATATGCTGCTGTAGTGGCATAATGGGGACTGCAGTGGCCTATGAGGAATTCTGCCAACACAGAATCAGTGTAGGGTCAGTGTACACAGCCCTACACTGCCTCCCCATAGTCCCCACTTAAATCTTATAAATGAGAGGCATTTTATGTGTTTCTGTAGCTTTCTTGATGTGATCCCATAAAGAAGCTTGAGGCGGGGTAAACAAATGGGGGAGAGTTTTCCCCCAATGATGGTTTCTCTATTTTCATCTTGTGCAGATTGCAAAACTGAAGCAACAGCTGGCAGATTTGAAGCAGCAGGCCCAAGAAGAGAATGAGAAAGTGGTGAGTGAACTTTTCTCTTTTCCCTCAGAACGAGGCCTTCACAGCAGACTGAGCAGTCGTTTTGGTTCTAGTAAGATGAGCAAGCTAGAAAGAGTTGATATGCAGTAAAGGTTTTGAGGTAAACCTCTGGCATGAGAAAAAAACCTGCAAAAGAAAAGTGGGGTGGGGACTATACAAGGCCTTTCTAGCTGTGAGTGCGGTTTGCTATCTCAGATACCAGTAATAATACCTATAGATAAGGTGTGGGCAGAGATACAACAGAAACATGTCCAATTTGCAGACTACAGAAGTCTGCTATTCCCCACCCTTAAGCAATAAATTGCATGAGGTAGGCTCTTCAAGGACCTCTTAGAATCATAGAATCATAGAATATCAGGGTTGGAAGGGACCCCAGAAGGTCATCTAGTCCAACCCCCTGCTCGAAGCAGGACCAATTCCCAGTTAAATCATCCCAGCCAGGGCTTTGTCAAGCCTGACCTTAAAAACCTCTAAGGAAGGAGATTCTACCACCTCCCTAGGTAACGCATTCCAATGTTTCACCACCCTCATAGTGAAAAAGTTTTTCCTAATATCCAATCTAAACCTCCCCCACTGCAACTTGAGACCATTACTCCTCGTTCTGTCATCTGCTACCATTGAGAACAGTCTAGAGCCATCCTCTTTGGAACCCCCTTTCAGGTAGTTGAAAGCAGCTATCAAATCCCCCCTCATTCTTCTCTTCTGCAGGCTAAACAATCCCAGCTCCCTCAGCCTCTCCTCCTCTTGCCCATCCATCCCTAAAAATAACAAGGAACAGAACAGCCTGGGTATTGACATATTATTAAAAGATAGTTCTAAACATAACATTTCTTTCTAGGCCTCCTCTTTTGCTGGTAATTTGATTCTGCCCAACTTGTTGCTTTTCCTTCTAGTGATAAGTCTCATTAATTTAGTGACTTTTTAAAATTCTGCACATCAAGGTTCTTAATTTTTCTTGGCTGTACATTTCCTGCAGTGATATTGTTGAATGGTTGTGACTTGTTCCCTTCTTGATTAGAATTTCTGATTTGCAGGCAGAACATTATTCTGCGCAGTTGAAAGATCTGGAGGAGAAATTCAGCAAAAAAGCAAGAGAAATTGGCTTAATTCAGTTGGAACTGAAAACAGTAAAAGAATTTCGCAAGAAGAAAGCACATATGGAGAAGGAACTGGAAGATGTAAGTTTGTCATAAGTGTTAATTTTGGATGTTTTAGTGGCCTGAAAGCAATACTAACACAATCTAATTTAAAACTGATAATTTGACATGGTAACCTGTACTTGTACTAACTACATGCTCCACAGGACTTTGTCTGTAATGATTTATAGGAGAAGTGATACTGCCACCTTTATGGCAGGGTGAGTGACTCATATGGAAAGAATATCAGATGCACCTGGCTGATTTATTAGACTGTTTACTGCAACCAGGGCTTACTGTGAGTGTAGAAAGCACTATATTGGTCAGACTTACATGTTCCTGAACTAGAATATAGTTTGCGGGGGACCATATAAAGTCAGCACTATTTGACCTAAAAAGAATCTGCATGTTTTTTGAACTTGGCTGGTTAGTACAGGAATAATTTCCAACTTCAGCGAGGTGGTGGCTTCTTCAATTGCTGCTGCCTCAGCACAAAAAATGGACAGATTGCTTCTAAAAGGTCTATTCTAGGCTCAATACTGAGGACAAATGCAACAAATGGTCAATCTGCAAATGTCTTGAGAAAAATATAAGGCCAAATCCAAGCCCTATAATAAAGCATCTAGTACTTGTAGTGATTTTTATCCATAGATCTCAAAGCAGTTTACAGAAGTGAGTTTGGATTGCAAACATTTGACTCATACCCTTCTGCACGAGGCCAGGATTGCAGGGCTTGGGATCCAGTCAATTTATATACCAGAAGGGGCTTACACCTCCTTTAAGAATATGTACAGAAGACCTAGTATTTGGGCTATACGTACCATAGGGTTTATAAATGATATAACATGATTTCTCAATACCCAGTTCAATAGGCAGGTGGAATGCAGTGATTGTCTTATCTCTTGACACAAGTAAGTCACTTAGATTGTAAATTATTTAGGGCAGAGACTATCATTTGCTATGTGTCTATATAGGGCCTTGCACAATGGAGCCCTGATCCATGATTGGAACCTCTTTGGTGCCACAATACAAATAATAAATAAATTTTTAGAAGTAAGGTATGAAATACACCTTTCTGCAGAATTTTCTCGAAGAAATTGGGGCACAGGATTTTGGATAGCACAGATGACTGAATGAGTAGAAAGAATGTAACTAGCTGTGTGAGACTGGGGAGAGTTTTACAAGGGCCTGTACCGTGTTCTATATATTTGTTAACAAACTAGTGGAAAGTATGCTGATGAAGCTTGACAATGATTTAAAAATAGGACAGCTGGTAAACTATGAAAGAGAAGGAAAGTGTAACGTGACTAAAGAGAAGTAGAGAAGAGGCAGAGATTATGCAAGGAGCTGATAAGGTCCTGAGAAGTACAAGACAAAAACTGGGAGATGCCTCTCCAGAGAGTTTCATCTACATGTTTATCTACAAGGCTGAAATACAGCACCATTGTTAAAAGGATATTTTTAAATCATAGATAAAAGAGAATATGAGAATCTCAAACAGGGAACATCAGGAGACTCTTGGAAGGCTGGAGAACAGGTTCATTGAAGAAAAGGTACAGTGCCTTACAAAGGATTTAGGAATCCCATATTAGAACAATGTGACTTTCCCTATTGACCAAGGTTTGAGTTGCTTTGGCTGTTATTTGATGAACATTTTACAATCATCAGTGCTTGTAAAAAAATACAATAAGATGATGTGGCAATTGGGTACAGCTTTCCAGGAAAAGTCACAAGGGCATCAGGATCCCTGAGGGGCCATATCACTACTTAGTCCCCACTCCCACAGGGAGGTGGTTTCAGTGTTCCCAAGGGCTCCATATCACTGCTCACTCCCTCTCTTCCTCTAGGATACAGGGTTGTATCAGTGGCCAGTTTAATCCCATGTATGTGATTTTAGAAAAATGCTTTGTGTCTGATTTTGTCTTTAGTACCACATAGTCTCAGTCTGTATTTAAGTAGCTTTTTCTCCCCTTCAGCAACTACTAGAAAGAGAGGCTGAGAAGAAGATAGTAATGCTGGCAGAGAGAGCCCACCATGAGGCCATTGTGTAAGCCATTTGCGTTATCTATTCCCCAGTTACAATGAGGAGTCAGAAAGCCACTGTAACTCTTGGTCTTACAGATAACTGCCAGGCAGCCAACACTACTGTATACAGCAAGGACTCTTTGTGGGAAAATGTGTAAGGGCCTTTGGCTGCATCTATATTACTTTCACAATTTAAATGCAGGCCCCATCACCATCCGGTCATCTCTACCATAAAACTCATTTCGGCTCCAGTCCAGCTACTGTCTCTGTGACACTTCCATGATCCCCCCTCTTCTGGACCACCTCTGGTGCTGGAAGCAAAGCTGTCTCAGTTGCAGCCCTATAAACAAATTCTTTCTCTGAAATTAGAGTACTGATTTTAATATAGGAAGACCCAAAAGGCTGTGATGTCACCTCTTGTGTTTTGTTTCGCCTTCTCCAGGCAGTTAGACAGCACTGGGAGAGCAGTGTTTAAGGAGAATGTTCGTCTTCAGGAGGCTCTTGCTTATCACCTGAAGGAGGCACAGGAGCTAAAAAAAATCAAGAAGCAGCTAGAAGAGGACAAAGCTTTTCTTCTGCAGGAAAAGGTTCCTGCTCTGATTTCTATTCTATTTCATTCTTCCCTAGGAAGGGGCCCTTAAATCCAAATTCTGGATACAGATGCAAGATCTTTGGGACTAGCGCCTTTCCAGTCAGACCCATCCTCAGTCTGCTGGATTTTGGAGCTATTTTAAGAGACATGAGGCTCTTATTCTGTCCTTTTAATTGTGAAGGAGAAAATAGAAAACGTTTCCTATGGTGCCCCTCTAAGAAGAGTTCAGTGTGTACAATGGGGAGTGTGCAGATCAGACACTCTTCAACTTGCTTCTCTTGCAGGCAGAGCCCTGACCCAGATTACTACTTGCTTTCCAGCATGGAAGTGCCGGAGTATCTATCAGTCTGATGTAACCCATGTGCTGTTATTGTTGAAAGAGTTCTGAGGTTCAGGGTGACCAAGATAAGAGTCTAAATAATTTTCTCTTGTCCTTTAGGAAACCAATGAGAATTTGGTTCAGGAAAAGGTCCAGCAAGTCACTCTGCAGAAAGCACAGATAAAAGCACTTCAGCACAAGGTAGAGAGACTGGAGGTGGCACTAGGTCACATGACCCAAGAATTTGAAACAGAAATTCAGAAGACACGGCATCAGGCTTTAGTTCAAAACCAGGCAGGCATGGTAGAGATCAACAAGCTGCAGCAGCTGCTGGAGATGAAGGACCGGGAGATGAATCGAGTGAAGAAACTGGCCAAGAACATCCTGGATGAGAGGAGTGAGGTGGAAAGTTTCTTCCTAGAAGCTCTGGAACAGGTGAAGCGTGAGATTGTGTCCAGCAGGAAGTGCTACAAGCAGGTGGCCCAAGCTGCCTATCAGAAGAAAATGATGGAGGCATTTGCAGGGAAGGAAGAGTACCCCAAAATCAGAACGTTTAACAGCAACGCTCACAGCACAAATAGTGTGTACAAGGACCTGCAGGAGGCAGAGAAATGGTACATGTAATTAAACAGCAGATATTTAGTGTCCATCTCCCTGGCTCATAGAAATGAAACCTAAATCTTAAAAATCCCTGTGTAGTAACAATACCCAGATTAGTAATCTCTGTGGAGGCTGCTGTGATTGGAGGGGAGTCTGCAGACCCAACTGTTCAGAGTAGGGAACTTCAGGACTGAATGCTGCTGCAGACCTGGCAGAAAACAATAGAAGGGACAACGTTAACACTGAATCCTAAAAATGACAATTAAATGCCAACACTGTTATTTATTTAATTGCTGATCATTTTAATGTGCTTTTCTTGCAACCTCTGTCTCCCTTGCCTCCCTGTGAACCAAAAGCCTCAGTTGCACACCTCCCTTGATATCTTCTCAAATGCAGTTCTTCATTGTCAATACAAAAATCTGTGGCACAATGAAAACTGAAAAAGGGGCAACTGTATAAAATAAATAAAATAAATGTCAAAATCAATAACACAGGAGCTACTGTACTGATTGTTTTATACCTTTTTAAATTTAATTCAATAAAAGCCTCTGATTTTGAAATTTATCTGAAGATGCCACAAAATTTCCAGAATGTCCATCAGACTGCAGCAGAATCTAGGTAATTTGCCATAGAATTTAGGTACAATTTTGTGCAGACTACATGTGGCCTTTCTTAGAGATAAAAGCTCTGTATTTTATTCTTGATTAAAACCTGTGGAATTTAAAGAGGTGGGGAAGATTGATCAAGGTGTATAGTCCATCTCCTGCCAATGCAGGGTTCTTTTTTGCTTACATATCATTGACCAGCTGAGTGAAACGTAGGAAATTCAGAGCTATGATTGAAAATCCTTTCGGTGTTTTCTCTGTTCAGAAAAAGGGAGATTTTATGCTGGATGGTAAGAGTTTTGTTTGGTCTTATTCTTCTAATACATTGATCTGCTCTCTGATGTTTTGCAGGACAAATATCCAGCAAGGGAAGGTTGATATTGGCCAGTTGACATGGGAGCAGAAGGAATGTGTTCTGAGGTTACTCTTTGCAAGAATGAATGGCCTGGAGCGACGGTAATGCTCTGTTTCTATGGTAGTAAATGGACACAGAGGTCTTCCTGTTGTGGAATCCAGGGTGATTGCTTGGATTCCCCCATTCTAGAGCTAATGCTGAACCTGTTCTGAGCAGTAATTGTGCAGGCTGAGGGAAAGATATTCCAGCTCAATTTGGAGAATGGAATTTTAGCTAATTTTAGTCTGATTCTAGGTTGAGCTACTAGGTCTTCATGTGTAGTTCTGGATACCTCTGAAGAGGAAGAAAAGTTAGCTGTAGTAGTGAAGGGGACAGAAAGTGGTGCTAGAATCTAGACCGGGGATCAGCAACCTTTGGCATGAGGCCCATCAGGGAAATCCGCTGGCAGGCCAGGACGGTTTATTTACCTGCAGCATCCGCAGGTTCGGCCGATCGCAGATCCCACTGGCTGCGGTTTGCCGTTTCAGGCCAATGGGGGCTGTGGGAAGCGGCGGCCAGCACATCCCTTGGCCTACGCCACTTCCCGCAGCTCCCATTGGCGTGGAACGGTGAACTGTGGCCAGTGGGAGCTGCAATCAGCCGAACCTGTGGATGCTGCAAGTAAACAAACCATCCTGGCCTGCCAGCGGATTTCCCTGATGGGCTGCATGCCAAAAGTTGCCGATCTCTGTTCTAGACCAATGAAATGGGATTAATTTTATTCACAGTTCTTAACTGATTCCTGCTTATCTTTAGCAAGTGAACATAAAGAGATAATTTGTCCAGTTAATGACAGAAGTGTCCCATACACAGAATGAAATCTGTCTTTATCTTTGCCACAGACAAAGCAATTTGACCAATCATAAAAAAGTTAAAACTGAGTTGAAATTTTCACAAACTGGCCATTAAAATTGTACTCACAATATAGCTCATGTTGCTATGTGCATGCAGAATTTGTGAACATAGTTTTAGAAGCCTCTTTGAAAACTTGATTCACAAACTGGAAACTGAAAGGTTAAGCAACATAAACTATGCTTGCATGTATTAAAAAATATACAGGAGATCTCAAATACTAATCTAAAATGCTCTATGTGCAATGAGGGAGTGTAAAGGTTGAGGTGGGAATAGTAACTCTTACACTTTGAGTGTGTTTGTTGAAATTCTCAGCCTTAGTGTTACATTCATGGAAGTTTTGACAATTTTGTTTTGTTTTTACAGTAGAGATTAAAAACATATAACTATATAAAATATATAAAAATATTCCTGTGTGTGCATGGTAACTAAAAAGTGACACTGATCAATCCCATTTCATTGTCCAAACTGAGAGGGAAACTCATGACAAAAAAAGCCCCAACAAACAGCATTAGTAGGAATACAGTTGGATGCTATATTAGAAATGTGTTCACTTTTAATAATCTTACATATAGCAGAGTTTTGTAGGGTCATGTCCAATTAATGTATTTCATGTAGGGAAAACACTATGTTCTACTCACTTTTCATGCTTTGCCCACAAACTGGAATTGGAAGACCAAAATCTGACATTTAAACTTCATTTTCTGTTGTTTTCGACTAAGATAAGCTTAATATTAGATATATCATCTGCTAGGGGAATCTGTTTGTTCCCTGTGAATCAGAAGGGGAATGGACTTGATGAGCTAATCACTGAGTCATGGTCACTTAAGTTAGAAATTGAATTAATGTCCAGAGTGGCTAAATAGGCGGGGGGATAATCTAGGCTCTATAAATAAAGAGTTGAACAGCCATCCCCTGTATGCCTGTAGTTAGAACTGAGCGGCAGAGCAGAAACTTGCTGTAACCCCTGAACTCTGCATTTCTGTGTCTCTCTCAATCACTCCTTACTGTAGCAGGAGGACTTCAGCAGCAAAACACAAGTTCCGTTGTCTAGATTAAATTAAAGCACACCTAGCACCAGACTAGCACTTCCTGCTGCTATTCATCTTCGCTGAGGTAGTGAGGAAGAGAGATAGGTATGGCGTAGAGAGAAGCCTCTTAGTACACGTTACACTTAATCCATATTTCTCCTGCCTTTGTTTCCTTCTCACAGGAAACGCAAACATGTTTTGGTCCCTTCAGCTCCAGCTGCTGTTACTCCTACTTCTGAAGAAAGAAACAAAGCTAGGTAAGATAGTACATTTTTATAGCACTCTGCCTAGGTACTTCTGCAGCCTCCATTAACACAATACCCAAGCACCTCCGACATATTTAAAAACAGAAATATAGTCATCTTTCCCTTCCATCTGTCCCAGCATGAAAGAGAAATACTTTGCTTAGTATGAAGGTTCTTGTTTGCTTGTTTATGCTGGTGTGTGTGCACGTGAAGACATGTTTGAGGGAAATTTAAATTGAAAAGATTAATTTTGCTTTTAGTTCTGAATGTGTAGTCTATAGTCATTCCTATCTCTTCTGTTTGTGAGTTCCAGCATCTAGGTCCAGCAGCTCCATTATGTCTCCTGCACTCAGAAGCTTCCCCTAGTCAACAGCTTCATTATTCTTGGACAACATAGTTGTTGTAAGAGGTCATGTTTGCACAGGGAGAGGCAATTACTCAGTTAGCACCGAGAGCTTTGAATATCAGTAGAAAGGCCTTGAGCTAGATTCTCCATTCAGGAGAGAGCTATTGAAGAGAGTGGAATCCCAAGATTAAGTGTTCAGTGACCTGTGCTGCTAAACAGATGGATTTCTGTGATCGGTACCAGTTAATGCTTTTTCAAAGTGTGTGAACTTGTTCCTACATATATAATGAATAGCAGCTAGCAAGGCTGGAGGTTACAGATGCCTAGTCTGTGTGTGATGGGATGGGTTTCAATCTTCTGCCTGGTTTGAATGACACTTTAGTCCCATTGTGCCTGCTATCTTGGTGAAAGCACCTCATGGCAGGTGTCTTATTTAAATATAGACACCCTATCTCTCTAATATTCTGTCTTCCTCTCTCTTCCTCAGTTCAGCTATCACTGCCTGGATAGCAGAGATAGGAATTAGTCCTATTTACGTCTGGAGCCTGGTTGTTCATAGGTGCAGACTCTGATACAACCACACACCTAGCTGAATTGTTATTCTCCAAGGCATGGGGTATATAACATCATATGGCATAAGCTCTGAGGAGTGTGGGTGTATGGTGCATTGTCACTAACTGCTGCAAGTGTGCCACATGTTGTGGAGGTAGCACACACTGTCCCCTGGAACTTACACTCTAATATTGGCATACACAAGATAACCAGATAAAATTCACAAATAGGAGCACTGACTTATTTCCTTTAGGGCAAGACCCCTAGCACTTTGCAAGGAGACCGCGTGGCTCTTTGGCATAAAGAGGGGCATGAGTCCCAAGTGTGAGGACTGGCATGGGAGAGGGCACAAAGAAGAAAGTAGGAATCAGCAAATGAGCCAGTTAAGAAGGTGACTTGGCAGGAGTATAGGCAGCAACACTTCTCCTTCCCCAGCCAGTTGTTTCATCAACCTGCTGAATGTTGTCATTTAACCATGATTGTACACTCCTCTGGGGCAGAGACTATCTCTTTACTACTTTTGTGAAACCCCCAGCACATTGGGGCCCCAAGCAGGGGGGCCTTTAAGCACAACTGTAATTCAAATAATAAAAAGAATAGGGATGAAAGCAGGAGTACAGGTGGAGGATTGGAGGAGAATCTTACACAGGATGTGGAAGGTAAAAAAAAAAAAATAGCAAAAAGAGATCAGTGCATTTATTGTTTATATTGCAATAGCACCTAGATGCCTCATTCAGAAATGAGGCCCTTTGTGCCTGGCACTGTACAAACAGATAGAAAAACAATGAGTAGCTTGAGTTTAAAATGGAGGTTAAGAAAAGACAGTCAGGGCAATAGCAATAAGATAAGGCAAATACATGAGTCAATGCTAGGCTCAATTTGATCTGACAAAATTAATTTTGGTTTTTTTTTAAACTTCTATTTTTCCTCTGTGATTTTGTTTAAAACCTTCACCTATTTCCTTTTTAATTTAAAAAGTGTCTACCCTTAAAAACATTTAAACAGATTCCCTTGAATGCAAGTGAGGATTTTAGAGATGGCATTTGGTGTAGAGCAGCAGGTTGGAAAAAGTGAGATATGCGGTTGCCCTACAGTAGAATCTCAAGCGTTGCAGACACCTCACAAATGGAGGTTGTTCGTAACTCTGAAATGTTCATAACTCTGAACAAGATGTTATGGGATGGTTCCTCAGGGTGGACTGCTTGGAGTGGGGGCGCACAGCAGTGCCTGCAAATCGCAGTCTTCACCTCCTACCTGTAAGTGGCTGCCTGGCGAGTGGGGACAGAGAGCTGGTTCTAGCCCCCTGGCTGCAAGGGTGATGAGTGTGGCACCCTGGAGCACTTCTACATCAGTAGGCACGCAGTGCTGGCTGTGGCCCTTTAAAACTGAGCTGCTCCTCTAAAGCGCAGCAAGCAGGCAGGAGCTCAGGCTCCAGCAGCTCGCTCTCCAGGCCAGGTTCCAGCAACAGCTTGGTTTGCTGCTTTCTGGGCTTGGACTGAGCTTGCAAGCTTAGAGGGAGTAGGAAAGGACAGCACCCTTGGCTCACAGGAAAGCAGGGAGCTGCTCCTGTTCTGCCTACTCAGGGGCTCATAGCTGTGCCTGTGAACCTCAGCATCTTCACCTCCTACCTGTAAGTGGCTGCCCCCCTTGTGGCAAGTAAGTGGTGGGGACAGGTATGCCCGAGGTGCTTACCTTTAAGATGCAATACAGGAAAAGTACAGTATTTGCTGGGTTTTGGGGGGTTTTTTTTTGGTTTGTTTCTGCTGCTGCCTGATTGCTTAATTCCAGTTCTACACGGCAGCTGGCTGACAGGCCAGTTTGTAACTCTGGTGTTCATATCATATCTTTGAGGTTCTACTGTATTCAACGTAAGAGGTAACCTGGATGTTAACAAAGATGTTCTTGGCATGGGAAAGGATGGATTTTGAGTTTGTAAAGGAAGGAGCTGACAGGATTTGGTAAGAGCCTGAATGGGGTGGGAGAAGAGAGGAGCCTGATTGATAAGGGAAGAAAATGGAGAATTGAAGGAAAAGGCTTACATCTTATTAGAGGTTACTGTTTAACCCCTTCCCTCCTCACCATGTATGGGTGAACAGCAGCATGTTATTGCTGATTCATCTGCAATGCTTTACCTCTGCAGCACTGAAAACATTGCTCCTAGCCTGACCTTCATCACGCAGCAGGTCCCAGTATCAGAGCCCTCTCCTCATGAAGCAATCCTTCCAGATATTGAGATGGTAACATCACAGACAGCAGAGTAAGGTGGCTGTAGACTCTGACTGAACAAGATGTAAGCTAATGATGGTTACCATCTCATCTGCACCTTTTCTTCTGGGACTCTTGTGTAAGTGGAATGATGTGACAGCTGTGAAATCTTTAATATCCCCATTTTATTGTGGTGTTGGTTTGGCTTTCATTTGAAACCAGCCTGAAAGGGGACTGTAAATTAATTTTATATACACGTTTAAGGTTTTGTCTTCTAAAATAAAAAAATCTTTTATTCTTCCCCTAGCTCAACTTATGTAGGTGGGTAGGGTTTCCCCAGCTGCCCACTGGAATCTGGGCTAGAGGCTGGATGGCACAAAAGGTGTGTCACTGCATTCTGATGAAGATCTCTTTCTGCTCTGGAGGAAAATGTTCTGTATGAGGATAAAGAGCATTTGGAATGAAGTGATATGTACGTGGAACCAGCAACAGTCTTCCTCGCAGCAGTGAGCTCTGTGTAGAAGGAGGTGGTGACTTGGATCCAAGCAGATTTAGTAACAGGATCAATGGTGCAGCTGACCCCAAGAGGCAAATCAACATTATATCCAGACAAGGTCTTATTAAAAAAAAAACAAAAAAAAAACCAAACCCCCCAAAAGGTCATTAATTGAAGAAATGCATTAGCAATTTTTATTCATAATCAAATTGCAGAAATATGAGCATTTCCCTCTAGGATATAACGGAACCTGAGAGAAAATACACAAATATTAATGGCACCACAGCAGTTGTATTGAAGTCTGGCAGCTGTCAGTTACAAAAGGCATCTTTACCAGAAGGCAGGATACATAGTGTTCACATTCAGTTTGTTCAATTAGACCAATGAATCATGATTAGAATCAGTTTAATAGCATGATTTTCCTCAGGTGCACGAAGCAACTTTCTGCAAGTCCCTACCACTTACAGCAGATTCCAAGTGAAGCCAAAATAAAGTCCCCTTAATCCTACCCCATCCCAAGACCTTTCCTTAACTACTCCATGGCTGCATGAGTCACCAACTCAAACCCAATCCTCCCCACCCACCCAGAGGATAGAACCCCAGACCTCCAGTTGCAAAGACCTTTATTACATAGGCTAACAGAACCTCCTTACCTGTCACTAGCATTAGGGCCTGCAGTCACTAAAAGATGCACACACGCACACGTGCAGGTGTGACAGTGAATCAAGCAGTGGGCAACAGCAGCATAGACATATGACAATCAGGAAGAGAAACCAAAAGACTGAGATTGGTTGCTTTCTGAGGAAGGTAATGCCTTCTTCCTGCCAATTCCATCCTGTCTCAGAGAGCTTGAACACCACCAGCCAGGAGTGGACATAACATGTGCTTCTGCTTCCATGGTCACAGGGAACGTAGGCACACAGTTGCTATCATAATAAGCATCACCCTGCAAGTGGTTTCAGTTAACAGTCAGAGCTGAGAACTAACAGGAGTTGTCAGGATACATACATGATGGGGATCAAAGTTTCCAACCAGAGCAAGGTAGGGTAGGATTCACTCTACACTCAGGAATCTCCTTGATCCTCAGTCAAGCATCCCAGTAGACCTCCCTGTAAAACTCTTAAAGCAGCCAGTTCCCAAGTGTCAGACCCGTCAAAACTGTTCAGTGGTTATGGGGTTAAACTCTCCAGAACTTCAGAGACACACTCAAACTTACTACCTGCCCGTAATGGAAAAGCCACTTCTCTGCAACAGGGAGAGTTCCTCAGAGTGAGGTGGAATCAGAATCTTGGACCAGAGAGGGAAGTGGAGAAAGCTGCAGCACCGAGTCAGTGGGACTAAAGACAGATATAGTGGAAAATGGAGCCTGTGCAAGTTCAGTTTGAAGGGTTCGTTGCGGGGAGGGGGGAGAAAGAGAACTTGTGCCCAGGCTTGTCATCTGACCTGTCACTAAAGGAGAGTTTTTCCTCTGGGGAGAAACTGAGCTCAATTAGCTGAAAATTGCTGAGAGCATCAGAAAACTTAGATTGTGCGTTACATGAGGAGCCTCCCTGATTTGTTTGGAAATAGAGGTCTTAAGGAGAGCTGAGCTTTCTATTCCCAGGGAAATAGGGAATAGAAGCAGTCAGGACACAGCTGGAAGAAGTCTGCAGCACAGAAGGTGAAGGGCACCATGGATGGTACCCCTGTAAAAGCTAGTTAGTTTCCCATGGTTGGCATAACTACAGCAGGCTTGGTAACTGTGGCATCTTCCTCTTTCCACTGAGAGATGATGGTCCTCAGCTGTGTATAGAACTGCACCCCCTGAAGGAAGTGAGAGAAACAAGGGTTGTACATTTGGCCTTGGGACTCCTGCAGGCTTCCCACTATACCCTCAGAGTACAAAGATTTCCACCACGGGAGCTGCCAATAGCTTCTCGGCCCTTCCCACCATCCTGAGGTCTCTGCCCCAGCAATAAAGCACGTTGCTCAATTCTCCCTCCATTCACAAGTCTCCACCTTGTTAATGCAACCTGATGGTCTCTTCCCTCACCTCCACCTGGCTTCCTGCACTAGGTTCACAGAGCAGCAAAAACACAATATGTTTCCTAGTTTGATGAGTTACCTGTTTGCCATAGAAATTGGTGTCTCCTCTGAAAGAAGCACGAGAGCCAGTGAAGGAGAACATGGGCAGAGGCACTGGTATTGGAACATTTACACCCACCTAAATCAGAGTAAAGACACCACATTAATAGAAGAAACAAGTACCAGACTGTAGCCACAACGGAACAGCCTCATATTTCTCTTCCCTGGAAAGATACTAGATCCAGTTTCCTTAAATATGAGATAATAGTATGTTACACCTTAAGACAGAAATCAGAAGCCAGGGCTAGATGGGTGTCTCATTTACATGGCAAGCACTGATGGGAATAATTCTACTCTATACATTATCCTATGGATACAAACCTGCCCCACGTCCACCAAGTGGGAGTATTTCCTAGCGGTGGCACCATTGGTGGTGAAGATTGCAGTTCCATTTCCATAGGGATTCCTGTTCACTATCTCAATTGCTTCATCAAGAGTGTCTGCTTCCAGAACCACGAGAACTGGCCCAAAGATTTCCTCCTTATAGCAGGTCATGCTTGGCTGCCAAGGCAGAAACAGCAGAAAACAAAACTTATGTTAGGGAAATGCCACAGACACCCCCAAAGCAGAGACCCCCCCCACAAATCAAACCCTCAGAGCATTCCCATCATCACTCACCATCCTTCAATTCACTGGACATCATCCTGCATAGAATCACAGAATTGTAGGACTGGAAGGGACCTCAAGAGGTCATTTAGTTCAGTCCCCTGCACTCATGGCAGGACTAAGTATTACCTAGGCCATCCCTCCCCCTTGAAACAACCTTTTATGTACTTGAAAAGGTATGTCCACTCTCTCAGGCTTCACTTCTCCAAACTAAACAAAACCAATTTTTTTCAATTTTCCCTCATAGGTCGTGTTTTCTAGACCTTTAATAATTTTTGTTGCTCTTCTCTAGACTTTCTCCAATTTATCCACATCTTTCCTGAAATGTGGCAACTAGAACTGAACACAATACTCCAGTTGAGACCTAATCAGCACAGAGTAGCGTGGAAGAATTACTTTTCATGTCTTACTTACAACATTCCTGCTAATACATCCCAGAATTATGGTCAAATTTTTTTAAAACTGTTCACTCATTTAACTTGTGATCCACTATGACCCGCCCTAATCCCTTTCTGCAGTACTCCTTCCAAAGATTCCTAGGGCAGTCATTTTCCATTTTGCATGTTCCTTCCTAAGTGAAGTATTTTGCATTTGTCCTTGTTGAATTTGCATGCCCCACTGTCCCTCATGTCCTAGTGGCTACCAACCCCAATGCCATGCCCTGCCATCTGTCACGCCCAACTATCACATCCATTGCCTGCTCTCAGTCAAGTGACAAACCTACTCTTTGGACTGAGGGCTGATCAAGGGGTCTAGATTCAATTAGGACTGGTTTGCTTCTGTTTCTGTAACTCCTGGCTTTCCATCCTCCCAGCCTGGGTGACCAGATCACTATAACTTGACACACATCTTGCCTGCTAGTCAACCCCATTGCACCCTACCCGCCATCCCTCTCCCTTGCACTCTCACATTGTCTACAACTCTCCCACTGTCATTCCAAACCACCAATTTCTTATGTAGGAGCTGGAGGTTTGGCAATTAATTGTCTGCATCACCCCATTCACACTCTTCTACCTTCCTACCTCCCAGTTTCCCAGCTTCATCTGCATACATCTCAGTCCAGTCACAGACCACTTATCACTCTCCCATCCAGATTTCAGGATATACTGAGGTTGGAACCTTAACCATTCTACCCTGCCCAATTAACACATGCAACATCCATAAGTGCTTAAATGCACACACTGAACCAGCAGTCTGCCATCTAGCCTATCAAGGCTGATAAGCCCACTGGGTCATTGCCAGCTGTGTTGGGAAGACCACAAGTGCCACCCTTTCCACTGAACCTATGATATACTTTATTCCTCTGCATCCAGTGACCAGCTCATTGACTAGCTCACCTGGACTTTAGCAAGGATGGTTGGTCCGACAAAGTTGCCTCTCTCATAACCCTTCACTTTGATGTCTCGTCCATCCAGAAGGAGGGCAGCTCCTTCCTTCACTCCACACTCAATCAGGTGGCAGACTCGCTCCTTAGCCTGGGGGGTGATCAAGGGCCCCAGATCTGCTCCTGGTTGGTCTCCTTTGAAGTACAGAAGCAGGGGAAGGTTTGAATTGTGATGGTTTCATCTTCAAAGAGAACAACCAACAACTACCTTCCCAGCAAAGATACAAGAATTCTAAAATTAAGTAGCCGAGGAACACAAAAAACTCAAACACACAGAACCAAGAGGCCCTGAACTCCAAACCCATAGGGGAGCCCCAAACCAACAGAAAAGCCCCAGGCTTCCAAAACAGAGAGAGAGAAGTCCCCACGCCCAAAACACACAGAGCTGACAGTTGCTGTGCTGAGTTCTGTAATTCTGAAGCTCTTGAAAATTTTGCAAAAGCCTTCTTGAACCATAGAAGGGAAAAGGTAACAAAAGGTCATCTTGTCCTGTATATGCTACATATGACAGCTGCTAAAAACAAGCATAAAATGGAGTCAAAGAGGAACTGAGTTTGGTTAGTCTGCAGTACTGCCAATCTCGAGATTAAAAACCATGAGTTGGATCCTGAAATATCATGAAATTGGCCTCAGAAACCATGAGATTTAAAACATATCATGAAGACTTTTTGTTTTTAGTCTGTCTTTTGACTTTTTAAACTCCCCTGTACTCCATGTATTTGAGATAATTTGATGGGTTTTTTTTAAAATCAATCTTTAATGCACATATGCCTTTAACTGGCTGCTCAAATGGAGACTCAGTGTATGCTGGAGGGCCACAAACATATTTAAGAACTAGAATAGAGAAGATGCAAGTCTTAGTTTTAGTTAAGCTAGTCCTAAATAGCAAGAGACTCATTTCAATATAACTGTAATGCTTCTGTTAATGATGTCTCATTAATAGGATGGTCGTCTTAAAAGTATCTCTTCAAAAATAGGAGATAGGTGGAGGGAAGGCATCTATGCTGGCAGGAAAGAGGGGGAGTACTTATGTTAAGGTATTTTACAGGCATAATATAACTCAATAGAGAGCTTTATAGTGTGATAAAGTTAAAAATAAAATATGATGGAAAAGCCTAATTCACACAGTTAGAAATACATTGTACAAGGCCTATAAATGGAGCTGGAAAATGAACATCCAAGAAATGCAAAGTAATCTATGTATCAAGATTTTCAATTATTTTTCAATAAAGATGTATGTGAATGGCAAAGATCTTTACACCAACTACCTTTGTTTGTTTCTTTGTTGTTTACATCAACTACAAAATCCAACAGCAGATTGACTTGTCCCCCCAGAAAGAGAGATGCTTCCACCTGAAGGGCTTTACTAAATGCAAATTGAAAGAAAGGGGAACGTTCCTAGAATAAAAGTCTGTTAATGTAATAAGCGGGGTTGCTACGTTAAAGGCAGGGCTGAGTCCTTTTACACAAAACCCCAAACCCACAGTTATAAACTGCCTGATGTTGTGAAAGTAAAACTAGAGTTCTAGTAACACAGTCAAGCCCTCCTTCACAACAGATCCCCCCAGCACTCCAACCATGTGGTGCTGAATCCAGACCTCTGTCACACACCCACAGAGCCTCCAAGCAGGCAGTCTTCCAGGCCCCACCTCCATGCACCAAACCCATGTAGCCAAGACCTCACAGTCACGCACTGCAATGTACCAGATACACAAACACACACAAGCCAGGTGCTTAATCTGAAGCTACCAAACAGATCTGTACCTGCATTAACTTGCAGGTTCTTGGCTCTCTCCACCAGTTCTGGAAGCCATTTCTTTGCCTCTCCCACTAATACGGCTGTAGACAGGGCCATGCAGCGTTGGCCAGCTGCTCCAAAAGCAGCTCCAACAAGCTGATTCAAGGTGTTCTCCTTATTGGCATCAGGCATCACCACACCATGGTTCTTGGCTCCCTAAAATACAAGACATGTATACAATCTCAAACTGCTAAATACACCTGGCCCACCTTCTTCCAGCTCCGCAGTGACAACTTCATATTATAGCTGATACTGAGCTGCTATCATCCTGGTAGAAAGGGAAGCTTAATCTCTCTCAGCACATCCAACTGCCTAAATTCAAGTCAGTCCCAGACGCTGAATGGAAAAGGTCTTAAGTATGTATACAAGGGAATAGCAGCCTGTAGGCTGAAATCTCTGCTACATTGAGGTGCATTACCATGTTGGATTGGACTCTCTTGCCGTTCCGGGATCCTCTTTCATAGATGTACTCTCCAGCCTGATTGGAGCCCACGAAGCTGATTGCCTTGATATCCGGATGGTCACAAATAAAATTCACAGCTTCAAAAAGGAAATAGCTCATTATATGCTGGGACTCTAACACTCCTCTCCAGAGTGTTCAAGGCCGGAAGGGACTGTTTTGATCAAATGGTCCCTTCCGGCCTTCTACCCCTATCCCCACAATGTCCATCCCTCTACTACCCACAGCCCAAGCACCCACATTCCTGCCCCTCTGTGTACCACCATTCCAGGGATTCCACTGCTGCCCATTCCCTCTCCCTCTGCTCACTCTCCAGTACTTGAACCCCTATCTCTGTTCACCTACCTGGCTCCCCAATCCTCATCACTCTGTTCCCACAGCACTCACATCCCAGCTCCTCCACCCACCTTGGCCTCTGCCCTTCTGGCACTTGAATCCCAGCCACCTTCTCCCACTCCAGTCCCTTCCTCACACTGGAGTTCACAGAACTCCTTATCCTTTATATCTTGATGTTCTTCCAGCTCCAGAACTGTGTTAAGGAAAAGTTAGCACATGTGACTCCATTTTGGTTTGGGGCCCACCATTGTTTAAATGCCAGCACATCATACACCAGGAGGAGTGATCCTTAGATACTGAATCCCTGTGAAAATCCTCCTCCTTGTCTCCAGCCTGCCTTGACTCCCAGTATCTGGTTTTTGTTAGTCTCTAACTCCCTGTCTCTTGGCCTTGATGTGAGGCCTCCCATCCTGATAATAAAAGTTACTGATGCATGGCTTTAGGACCATGCTGTGTAATTAACACACTGGTATAGCACGAGGAATGCACCAAGCAGGGATAGGTGGTAGATAAGACAAGGGTTTGTTTATTGGCTAAGGTTTCCGATGCACGAGGGCAACATGCTTTGCTAAAAAGTATATAACCTTTGTATAATCTGTATTCAGGGTCCCCTCCTGGCTAGCAGGGGGCACCACGCTCGAGCGTAATAAACTTTGTGTCTTTTGGGAACTCTGCAGTTGTGGACTTTGTTTCTGTGCCTCAGCCTAGATTTGAACTGTGCGTGTCCCACCAGGTGTAATTCGTAGCACTGGTGTGCGTGTCCCACCAGGTGTAATTCGCAACAACTGCCAGAACCCTTCTTACTTTTTAACCAGCCAAAATCTGTCAAACTGGGTGCTTAAAGTTAGGCTCCTAAATCCATATTTAGGCGCCGAGGGTGGTATTTTCAGATGTGCCTAAGTGACTTAGGAGTACAAATACACTAAGTCAATGGTACTTGTGTTCCTAAGTCACTTGGACACTTTGAAAAGACCATCCTAGGAATCGAAATGTACATCCAGATTTAAATGTTGTCCACCCTCTCTCTTTAAAGGTTTCTCTATCATCCTGCACCAGCCTTGCACTTCCCTGGATCCCCCTTGTCCCACCTTCCCCAAACACCATGCTGGTCCATAACAGTGGAAACCCCAACATCTCTATGCCTCCCCTCAAAGCACACGTGCCCCAACACACCCTCACACTCTGTAGCCATATCAGCAGACTAGTCTGAGTTTACCTTCATGTTGCCCATGGATGATGTTCAGAGTCCCATCAGGGGCACCAGTGTCTTGTAATAGCTTAGCAAGGAACATAAGTGCTCCTGGCACACGCTCTGATGGCTTCATCAAGAAGGTGTTTCCACAAACCATGGCCATGGGGAACATCCAGAGAGGAATCATGGCTGGGAAATTGAATGGTGCAATCCCTGCACACACTCCCAGAGGCAGGCGAAAGGTGTAAGTGTCCATGTCCTTAGTGATGGAGGGCAGGGTCTCTCCCAGCATGAGAGATGTCACGCTACAGGCGTGCTCAACCACCTCTGCAGCAGAAAGGGTGATATGCCGAAGAGTGAGCTCCTACCACTCAGCCTCAAAACTGCCTTCTCTACAATGCAATTCTCTCTTCCTGCATCTTTCCCCAAACCTGCAGCTCCCATGCACCATGAACACTCCCTGCATCGCCAAGCACAGTAAATGGATTCTTTCCTCAGTGCATTCAATGTTCACATGACAGGAGCCCTGAGTGAGGTTAACAAAACACTCCCAGTGCAAGAAGCACAGGGGTACCAATCCCAGCAGAGACTTTATCTCAGCCATTTCTGCACACGGAACAGACCCACCCATCAAAAGCCATTTGGAGTCAGTATAACATGCAGGGAGAGAAAGTGGGCTGCAACTTTAAAATGGGGCAAGGAAAATGGACCTTTTCCATCTGCAGTTTCTAAGGTATAGACAAGGCCATCCCTCTACCCTCATGTGAAGGCTCTGAAGGGGGCTACTTTCTTGTGTTCTAGAGCTCCTGTTGCTCATTGGACTTTTATCCTGCCCATAGCTTCTGAAACCCCCTTATAGTGGGAGGAGCCAGCAGCTTACGGAGGCCTCGGAATACGTCTCCCTCAGCATCAGCCAAGGTCTTTCCTTGCTCCAAAGTGATGAGTTTGGCAACTTCTTTCTGGAAATTAAAAAAAAAAAAAAAAGTGTGGAAAAAAAGGGCCAACCAGCACAAGTGGGAGGTGGTGGCAGAATAGGCTGTTCCACAGATAGCCAAATACCACAACGAACGGACCAACACTACCCAATTTGCTACTTCTTAGTATGAGTCACTGTACGTGTGAAGCCAACAACCTACAGAAAGGGAATGTTTTAATTAGGACAACTGGAATTGTAGGGCCGGTCTGAATCCTATGGCATCACAGCCAAGCAATCTGGGGACATAGAACAGGAGACTGCAAAGCCCTAGAGAGAACAACTCTTGCAGCTATTTCTCCCTTTTGCTTTCACGGACTCCATTAAACCTCAAGACAACTTGGAACAGCACTTGGTGTAAGATAAAATGCAAACAACAATCTGCCCTTACCTCTATCCACAGGCAACACTGCCCCCTTTGCCCCCATGGGTCTGAAAAGCACCACACCATCCCTCCTGTGGCACGAGGAATACCACCCCCATTCAGCTCACAAACCCAGGCAGCACGGCCCCGCCATGAGCCCAGGAAACAGTACTCAAGCCTGCCCAACCTGGGCTACTGGCATGCACTCAGCGACAACCATTGAGGACAGCAATAAGGGTCTCACCAGGTTGTCCTTGATGAGCTGCTGGTAACGCAGCAAGATTTGCTGGCGGCTCAGAACAGATGTCTCTGACCAGTTCCGAAAAGCTTTTTTGCATGAAGTCACAGCTGCCTCCATCTCGCTCTGTGTGGCCTTTGGGACACGACCAACCACCTCGTTTGTGGCCTGATGGAACAACCAATTACATCAAAACTCATCCTCTTCATGCCATCTTCCTCAGCCATTCAATGCCCCTTTCACATCCCTGATCTGATATCCTTCTAAAATGAAACCATACTTACATGATTCCCCTGATGTCAGGGAAAAACTCCTCCCCTCACACACTTGGAGGGCACAGCTTCAACTAGAGTTGAGTGCTCAGCACCTCTGAAAAACAAGCTGTAGGTGTCTCAAGTTGGGCACCCAGAAAACTAACAGTTAGTGACCACCTCTGAACCTTTTGGTTTAAGGGACTTGCCTAACAGTGACTGTAGCAGAGTCAGGGATGAAACCCATTTTCTCTGGGTTCAGTATCAGTCAGTGCTTTAACTACAAGATTCTTTTTGCTTCCTGTATCTCTCAGCCTCTTCACCACACATCTGCTGTGCATAAGACGGGATCCTATGGACAGCAGTCTCTTTCTATATAACAGTCTTTTTCTATGCCTCGTCTGCTGTTCCTCTTGTGCCCTAAAGGAGGCACAGGTCCTTTGGAAAAATCAGTAAGTGATTATGAAGTTAAGTACTATATCATAATTAATATGGAAAACCATATTTCTAGCATTTCCTATCTTTTGAGAGCTTGTTTTAGCAACCTTAACATTCTTTTAATTTAGATTTTTTTAAAATCTGCCTTGACATAGCCGAGATCATCAGTTACATCATTCAGAGAGACATCTGCAAAATAAAGATAAGTAACTGT